TGGCACTATCCTAATCTTCAGGTCAACTGCATAAAGCAAAAATTGATGTTACTCTCAAACAACATACCTTATACGTCATAAGATCTGCAAGTAACATAACATGCCGACTGTCAATACTCATGCCATGGCTTTTCATAGTGTATGTGATTTCATTCATAATTGTAACCCTATGAAACAAATTAGACCGGAAGATACAAATTCACTCTTGAGGGCAATGAAAAAACCAAAAACAAGGTAAAACCATAATTTGGGTTATCCTAACAGCAAGACATTTGGTTTACTTGTCAGTTCTAAAACTTGCATTATGTAATCTGTTTATTTTGGGAAGATAATTCAAAATTACGCATTCGGAAGGCTTGTAGCTTAGTTCTTGAAAATTTTTAGAAAATCTTCAGGGCCTTGTTGGACACCAAGTTGAGAGGGCGTAGCGGTCTGAGCACCTCTAAGCTAAAAACAACAACAGCAACTCGTACTACGGTAACCCTCATCAAGCCAAAAGGGAAGTAACATATTCGAAAATCAGTTCCAACATGCAAATTATTCATCTTTTAGAGCTAAAACAGCCGACTTGCAGTCAGATAAAAACACAATCAAATAATTTTAGAAAATGGCAACAACAATGCAAATTAAATTGATACTAAAGATTACATCATTAGCATGAAAAATATCTTTTTCAATCAAAATTTGTTGGAAAGCGACATTAAAGCAGGCCTAGAAAGCTACAGTTACTAAAAGCAATGTTTTGGTATCATAAATCTAGTTTTGAAATACAGCAGAATAGTTGAGAAATTTTGAAAGTGTTTCATATAGTTTCAAATAGATGTTATAGCTAGCAGGGGCGTCAAGAATTCAACTTGGAACTTTTCGTGAAATGATCTGTATTGGTTCCTTATCTATCATAACAAGCTGAAGAGTATGTTCTCGAGAAGCTATTGATGTGGACCTGCAGTTTTCTAGAAACTAAAACAAGAAAGATTGAAAGATAAAATATTGGTTTTATCTTGAAGCAGAATATAGCTTATGTTGATTTAAACAAAGAAGCTATAACAAAATACAAAATTGGATTTCTGAATAAGAGTAGACTCCCGTTTAAACTTTTTCGAGGAGCAGATTTCGCGTACACTATAGAGAGATGACGTCATAATTTGCGTGACAGTTTCCACTTATAATTGGGGTCAAAGCTAAGAACGATGTTCGATGCACTTTTAAGCAAAAAGATAGCTTAAATCTTTGAAGTCAATTACATTAAAAAAGTGTATTGGTGAAGGTAGGTTAAGGCGATCTAAAAATAGCGAGCTGTTTACGCGTTGAGGAAATATCTTATGTTTTGTTAGCAGCAAAAAGAGACGCTTAATCTGATTATGTTTTTTTGCTCACTTCATGAATTTTTACTACAATACTGCTCTGCCATTGGATAACTTGCATGATCTATATTTAGAAATTAGTTCGCATGGTAAATGCCAGATTTCTTTTTAAAGATCTACTGTCATACAAACAAAGGACCCGCTTAATTTTACGGGGTCTTCTCTTGCTTGTCAACATTGCGCCTATTTAATTTCACGCAGGTTGATCAATTCAGAGTTAAAGCACCCTGCCAGCTAATGAAAATCACGGTTCTAATGGCAAAAACTGCTCTCTCAGCAAAATTGAGATATTCTGAAATAATGCAATAAACCAAGCTTTTCCGAAAACGTCGGCAATGCAAAACAACCGGTACGTTCCTATCTGTTACGCCCTGAGTTCTGCGAAACATGTCTGCAAGACCTCTTTGCAATAATGCTGCAAGTGGTTCTGTTTCTTTAAGTTCAAGGCAAAAGTTTGAACGGGATCTTACGGTGGAAAATGTCATTTTATTAAATGTCACGTAAAATTGAGAAGAAAAGATAATTGATTATTGCTAGATGAAAAGAAATAGATAGAAAGAAATAATAATTGTGGATACATCCATTAATGTGCCTAGACAATTTAGGTTGGGGGAGGGGAGGGAGGGTCGGGCTTCAGGAAAAAAGTGACCAATTTTACTTTTATGACCAACTATCTCCCCATAGAAAATTTATTAAAAATAAAATGGATTATTAATACATTGTTAATGATAACAAGTAAGAGCAAATGATGGCACGAAAGTCGAAGGAAATTAAGTTTGCGGAAACTAATATTCCGTTATTGGGTGAATCTATCAGCATCTTCTTGCGAAAAACCAATAATAGGTTGATCTGCAGAAGTGAACTACAGCTTCTTTTCAGCTCCTCATAACATTAGCTTAAAATGCATCTCAGAAATTTTCTTGCAGTCATTTCTTGCAATCGCTAAAAACATTTTACTATTTTTAGGCATACTTTTGCTACACTTGATCAATGCCATTCTTAAAACGGAATTTATTACTTTATCAGGGCACCTAGACCTAAGGCCCTGGGGCAATTTGCCCCTTTGTCCCCCCGCTTGGCAGCCCTGAATATGGTTAAGTATGCAAAATATGTAAATCCTTGAAGTTTCTCTAATTGAAAGGAATTCTGGCTCAAATTTAATTATCGCAAAACATCCAGACCTAGCATCAGTGAAACTAAATATGTATCGGCAAAAAGTAATTTTCCCCAAAAATCAATTCCTTTTTGGTTAATAATTGTTCTCAGTCTAGTGTAGTGACATATGTATTATTGTAGTGTGTTTAGGAACGTCATGTAATGAGCTTCGTATCCGGAAAACTAAGATGGCTGCTAGCTAGGCTCGTTTCAAGCTTGAGATATAATTCGGCTACAAAAACGCTATTGTAAAGTAGAAGTCTGAAATGTTTAATCACCTGCATCTTTGATATTTCTATTGGTTGGCGGCAACTTATAGCCGCAAGCTTGCTTCTTATAGGAAGTTATCAAAGAATGTTGACTATGTCCAACCATTTGGTCAAATTTCCTAATAAATGCTAAGGTTCCCGCTGCATGACCAACTTCCTTAAAGTTTGCAGACATTGGGTGGGGGTTGGGGGGGGAGGGGAATGTCGTAACAGCCGGCAAATCCCTGGATACATCCCTGATTTTATCCTAAAATGTAGCATGATACATCAGTGGCTTTACGGTTTATTTACAGAAACATACCTTGAAGCCTCGATCCCAAGTGTCCTCTCTACTTCATGTATGTTATTCGAAGTGCAGCCGGTTCCCTTGACACCTAATAAAAAAAAGGTTTTGTAAGCTGATATATTCCAATACATTACTGACTAGTTCAGTTCCCAAAACAGCAAATTATATTCTTTTCATTACCAACAGTAGACTACATGATACTCAGTTTCAATTTTATATTCGATATTTTAATCATACCAAGATAATGCTCGTTAAAAAGAAGGCTTGAAAAAGAGAAGTGTACTGCAGTGAAGCCATGCGAAAGAACTTGAGGCAATTCTTCTTCAAAAACGATATTTACAAAGTTTCAAAAAAGCGACGTACTAAATGGTTTCGCATTTTTCTAAAAGTAGAAGGTTCCTACGGACGTTACAAATTTTGTGTTTTCATTAGTCTTTTATTCGTCTATTAATCTATTAATCTTTTAGTCTATTAATCTACAATATCAATCTATTAGTTTATTAATCTAATTTTTGTTCATTCATTTGTATAGAGAAATGTGTGTTCTAACATGTCATTAAGGAAAAAATAGCATGAACCTAATATCATCAATAGCAAATCCCAATCCTGGCATTCAGGCACGGCACCAGTGGGGCGGGAGGGGGAGGGGGGGACTTGGGAGCTGAAGCCCCTCTTTTTTATTCCAAAATAAAAATCTGTACCGTTATTTATGTTATTTATTCAAACATAATAAAAAATAAAAAGAGAAAAATTGTGATTTTGTTTAATCTATTCACTATTTCTTATGTTTATTTCTATTTTTTGTTTGTTATTCTCATTACTTCATTAAAGCACTTTCTGTATCATCGCAATGTCTTCATTTTGGATGTTTAATCTTGCACGAGCGATTTAAACATGGCTGCGTTCCAAAATGTTGGCAGCTCGATTCAACCCAACAGACACCCTGCACGCTCACAAGAAATAAACAGATTTCTTGAATATAAGTAATGTAGCAAAAAAATTGTCAGAGAAACGAAAGCAGAAAATACATTTCTGGTCGATGTTGCTTATTTTTAAAGACAATGATATTCAAACTTTTTTTACTTCCAAATATGTTTCCTAACACTTCACGGAAGTCTGACATTTTATATCACAAAGGCTCTCATTGGTCTTCGCAACGCATGCTGGCACTTTCTCTCTTTCCCCGATGTCTGTCACTAGTGTTTTAGCATGACTCTTTCCCTCCCCCAATTATTCCGATTAAACAATGATCAGTGTTTTGCTAACAACCATCGAATTGTCGATCCTGAGCGACATTAAATTCTGTTACATTTTTGTCTGGGATATACCTTTTAAGCCATTCTAAAAGGTATAGTTTATAGTATCGGGCTCAGCTATTGTTGGTCCTCCTACGTCACTAAACTTGATTCTCAACTCCTCTGATTTTTTGCTCCACAATACACTCGCTTCATGAGATATTTTGTGCAAATGCAGTCAGGCAAGAAACCCTAAGATCCTATAACGAAAAACTCGCCGAACACTCCTTGACGTCATGTAAAATCACTGTTGGCTTTCGTAAAGCTCATAAAGCGGTACTAAGAATGCGGAAATAATATAAACAATGCAAATCTGCAGATGAATGCGGTTAAGAGGCCGAAAATGCGAGACTATACAATTGAAGAAACTTCTGGTAAATTCCACGACTGGGTCCGCGAGCCGCGAATTTCCAACAAGAGAATTAAGAGAAGACAAAATCTACATATTCGACTTAAAAACCATAGTCGAACTTCAGATATCTTTCTTATATTAAAAAGATCGAAGAAAACTTCCTTTAAACTCGCGATGTAATTCTCAGACGGAAAACAATTTTTCACGCTTTCTAATCATTTGGAACTTTAAAGTAAGAGGAAGAAGAAAGAGAAAAAGAGGAAAAAAGGAGAAAGTAGATGCAGTTCCTTTTCAAATTTCATTTTCATTCTTTTTTCTTAATACAATTTAATTACTTCAAAAACATATTATTACGTATATTTTACCTTTCATATATCAAATATTTATTCATAAATAGAGTTTCGCTGCAGATGCTTCCATGATTATTAACAGTGGCTAAGAGCCATTACATAAATAATTTTTACAACAACATTCAAAAATCCTTTTTTCATAATATCAAAAGTCATCAAATGTCCACTCTTTCTATCAATAAATAATATTAAAAATTCTATATTTACTGCTTATATACATTTTTCCAAAGACTTCTGCGGCGAAAAGTGTAGGGGGCGCTACCCCATACACAGTTCTTGAAGATTGCATCCAATTCTTGTTTGTTTGTTTGCTTGTTTCTCTGTTGTTACTTTGTTTGTTTATCAGCAGTTGCTGCTCACAGCATTCGATAACCAATAATAATCGGGACCCTTTTCACGACCCATGTCCTCATTTTCAACAAGCTACTGCGCTCTCTCTGTCTCCTTAAAACCAAGAACATATAGAAAATTGGGCGACATCGCCGATCACATTTTCCATCTAAACCCTTCACACACTTTGCTGTTTGCAAGGTTTGTGGGATTTGCCTTCTGTTTTTTTCAGTTTCAACAAACTCATATTTGCAAAGATCACCAAAGACTGTCCCGGTTGCTTCCACAACTGACTGCCTCAATTTAAAAGCTCTAACATTCCTATCCACAATCATATAATCAGCCTTAATGATTTCCAATGCTTTAGATGTTTCGTTTTCTCTAACAGGTGCGCCTTCACATATGTTGCTGGCCAATTGCAGTAGCTGAAAGAAACAAAATTAGAACTTAGTTTTACTGACAATCACTACAGTTGACTTTAAAAATATTAGCAGTTTGATATTAGAAATCGATCAAAATTTCAAAAATACAGGCTGCCTCCAAGTTAGAAGAATCCGAAAATAATTTCGAGACGAGATACAAAAGTTTACTTACCAAAACTAAGCATAAAAATACGAAGAATCCAATAGTGGATTCCATGAAAATGTTTTGCGGCTGTTCGAAAATCAAATGACCATGCAGCAGTAAACTGAAAACAAATTTATCGAGAATCTAACGTGCACCCTTATTTATATTCCACTAGCGCTTGATTCTATTTTTAGTCTAATGGTAATCCAGTACAGAAAATTAACACACCGCTTCTAGAAGATCACAAACCTTCAGAAACTGCATGAAAAGACTTCCATCATAACAATTATCTTTGCAGGAATTCGTCAAGTGATACTGCAATCCACTTCCTAGAGTTCTTGAAGTATGCTCTCATCTCAATGATGTAATGGGCCGGGTTGACTGAAAGCTCTAATGATTACACCACAGTTTCGTAACTCATTACGTAATTCGAATGCAGATTTACGTTTAACAATGAAGAAGTTTTAAGACAATCGGAGAAGCGATGAGACAATTGAGATAACATACCACCGATGTTTTGAATTTAATATACAAAACCATTTGTCCAGCTTTGTGTGGCAAAGGGGCAGAAGGGCCCGCTTCCACCGTTGAAAACTGGGTTCCAATTGGGGAGGGGACAGGGGGAGGGGAGGATTCATTTTTTGATGCTCTTTGTAAACAAGTGATTCTTCGTTTGGATTACGTATTTTCTATTAATTAGGCTTCACGCCAAGCGAATGCAAGGGACCAATGCCTTATGCTAGCCACATTCAATGGAAAATTCTTACAAAGGTGCTTGGGCATGATAAGCATCCATCCTAGAAGAGAGATGTTTTTTAAAAAAAAAACTGGCGCTAATTGTAGAGCAGCGATCGAAAGAGCATGGAAAGTTATTCGAAAAAACATTGTAGAATCAACATTGACATGGAAGGAATTGATACTGCCTCTGATTTAGGGTCTTTGAAGCCAAGAACTTCTAAAATTGGACTTTTGTCAGAAACGATGTCCCTCCATCGCAGAATGATTTTACCCTACTCTTAGAATACTGGTCTGGTTGGTTTCCACTAGTTTCATTACATCAGAGAATACATTAAATCCCCGTCCATTTTGTTTATTGCACCCTTCTTTTAAATTGTTTCTCGTACTTTTCTTTTGGTTTATTTAAGGTAACAACAACTCCTCTTCTCTCTTTCTTCATTATGATGTTCCTGTCGTAAACCATAAATAAACGTATAACATGCATGTACGTAACATGGCAATATCTGTATTTATCAATAAAAATTCCCTTTACACCAATATATTGTAAAACGAAAAAGTCGAAACGAAATTATGCCTTAATGATCGTCCACAGAATAAAATGAGATTGATCTTATTCAACAAAAAGTTCACCGAAATAAAGGAGCTCTTGGTGATTTCCAGATAAAACAATGTGATTTCCACAGAAGGTGGACAAGGTATCACAGACTGGCTTGCCCTTTTGGATGCAATAATTTGCCACTTGGACTGTGTTTCGACAATAGTTATGGGTTTGCCCGCTATGTCTGCCAGAAACCACAGGTTGGGGATAACAGTGCTGTACCCAATATTCCCTTGACTAACTTAATGTAACTTTCGTCTTTTTTATCAATCTTATTTACATTAAACCCAAGAAGGCATTAGTGTACTTATCATTTTGCTGCCCAAACAACAGCTGCTCTGTACACTGGATCCGAAGCTTTAAAATATCATATTATTCATCATATTATCTTCCAAAATTTTTATATTTTCTCACTATTTATCATATATATACATTATTTATCACATATCAAGTATTAAACAGCACAGTTTCCTCCTTCCGCACATTTCTGCTGCAAAAATTAAAGATTCCTTTTCTTTGCGTGATCACAATTGTACAAAGTAAAAATGTTCAAATATAAAACACGAAAAAATTTAAAAAGCTTTCTTAGACTTAGGTGCAAGCCTCAGAATCTTAAAATTTTTCATTAAATGGACCTTATAGGGCTGCACAAGCATACAGTATTTTTATATTTAGCCTTATATTTATAAGTGTGGAGTAGAAGTCTTATAAGAAAATAAAATATGATATAACGATACATATATTATAATCGTAAACATTTCTAAACACAATTATCTTCAAATACATTCTATATACATAACAAATTTGGAATTTCTAAGATGAATTTCGAAAGAACTTATTTTTTACATACTTCATTAATTGTGAACCTTTTATCCTAGTTGTACATTTAATATACATTTCACTTTGTTTATAATTTACTTACAGTTGATATATGCATGATTGATCTCAACAACATTTTAAATATCATCGTCTATTAACGCTAATGTCCATTAAAACCTTCGTCGAAAACCAACAGTCACAGATCTATAGCTCAATTTCCATGTCTTCATCCCATTGCACAGCTTACTTTTCTCCAATATAGGTATCAAATATTTTATTGGCACACAACGCCAGATTGTGCAGCTCTTGCATTCTGCATAGACTAGACTTTGTGGTATTACGTCAGGATTGACCTCTGTTTGCTTAAATTCAAATTTGCAAGGATCAGCGATAAAAGTATCGAATGGAGATGCGTCTGCATTTTGGCTTTCTAGTTGTGCTTCGCCATAGTTCGGGATCACAACCGCAAGAAGCTTCATGGCGGCAGCGACATCGGAAGGCTCCATACATCTAGTTGGCGCAGCGTTTAGGCAAATGGCAAACAAAGCAAGAACCTACAAAAGCGAAAAGTTTCGTTAAAAGAGTAAAACGATACAGCGGTCACATAACGTAGTATTCATCTCGAAAAAAGGCAATATAATCTCTTGTTTTTATTTCATTGAAAAAGAGTAAAGCTTACCAAAAATGCTATCTTTTGAACTGTTTCTTTCCACATCTTTATTTGACAGCAAACAAAACGTCAAAATTCAGTGATTTAGATTTAACTCCTTTCCTTGTATTCTTACTGAAAACGTGTGGTGGATCCATGTTTGGCAAGTTCTTTTATAGCGTTGTAAACTCTCTCCTAGAGAACAACCCTGCAGTTTCTTGAGGAATATCTGCTAGGCTAACAGACACCGGCGTAATTACATAGTTTCTAAAGAGCAGGGTGCAGTCAACTAGAAAATCTGAAAGGTATTGTGTAGAGCCAGGGATAGATTACGGTCTCTTATTACAGCATTAGCTTATTCTAAGAAAGTCATTGAGAGAGAACGACCTTACAAATTGGGACAATGTCTGAGTTGGAATCTGTGTGGCCAGTCCGGTCAAGTTGGTTACCTCTGTTTCAAAGGCCTGAATCAGCAAAGGATTTTAATGCTTATGTGAAAACATGTGTAAAAAAATCAAATCGACCTGGTTAAATCAAGAAGAGTTTGTTCAGCAGCAGTGGCCGCGCAGCAATTGGGCAACCAACGGCTGTAGCCTCCTACGTTCTTTCCGAAGCTAGGTTTTGAAACGTCTTAAATCGATATGTAAATTGTCATTCTATTGTTTCAAAATAATAAAATCCCATGCTCAATAGGGGGTGATGCTCAAATGATCCAAATATACCACTACGAATATATATATTCATTAAATTACCCCAAAAGAAAGGGTTGGCCTCAAAGATTGGAGGAGGGTGTCTGTTGTCAGTTCCTCTATAGGTAGAGGAAGGGTTACTATTATCCATTCATCCAAAGGAGGGGATTAATAAAAAAGGGATACCTGGCCTAATTTACAGGGTTCTTGGTCGATTCAAGTGGTAATTCTCGACGCAACTCTTCAAAGAACACCCTACACTTCCAATAGGAGTTATGTTTCTATGTCCATGGTCCAGAATATAGTGCTCAGTCTAAGCAAGGTGAAAAGTAACAACTAATTTTCAAAAGATCTTGATACTTCTTGAATAGAGTAAAATATGCACGCAGACAACGTTTCTACCGAGCACCTCCCAGGAAAAAACTTCGCAACATATCATACTTTCGAAATCCGTTATCTGTGCGTCATGACTCCTACGATATCATCGGTTGTTTCTAGTTCATTTTCAAAAACCAAGGAAAATATGCATTTTTCTATTGCGCATTATGACTTGTTATTTTGCTCAAAAATAGTTTTATTTTTTATTGAAATATCTAATTTCGAGGTTTGCAGATCTTTAATATTTGAAAGGTGGAATAGTTAGCACCCCTAATTATGTGTTAATGACTGTTCTGGTTACCTTTGGTGACCAAGCGACCCACAACTACCGAAGGCTGATGTTCTAAACATGAAGCACTGCTTCGATACTCGAATCAACTTCATGATATTCTTGAAAACTTCGCTTAAATTCTTTAAAATTTCGTTGATACTCTCGACAACTGCAGTTATATTCTAAACAGCAGCCTTGATATTCTTAACAACTTCGTTGACATTCCTGGAAACTTCGCTGATACTTTTGAAAACTTTGCTTGTATCCTTGAAAACTTCGTTGATATTCTCGTCAACCGAGTTATAATCTAAACAGGAGCTTTGGTATTTATATCAACTTCATTGATATTCTTGGAAACGTCTCTAATATTCTTGAAAACTTCGTCGATATTGTCGACAACTGCAGCTATATTCTAAACAGCAGCTTTGATACTCTTAAAAATTTCACGATATTTTCGGAAAATCCATTGATATTCTCGTCAACTGCAGTTATATTCTAAACTTTGATATTCTTGAAAACTTCAAATATTCTTGAAAACTCTGCACTTATTCTCTCGACAGCCCAATAATTTCATCGAATACTGCTTCGATACTCTCAGCAACTGAATTGATATTCATGACAAATGCCTTGATACTAGCTATTACATTCTGAAAAATTCGTTGATATTCTCGTCAACTGCAATTATACTCTAGACAACTAGATAATTTCATAGAGAAACGCTTCGATACTCTGCCTTTATATTGAACTGTAAAGTCATCAAAGTTCTTTACAGCTGCATTGATATTCTAGAAAGCATTATAGATAATCTTGACAACTGCCTGAACTTTCTTGACAAATGCATTGAAATTCTTCGCATCTGTATAGATAATATCATCTTCATACATATTCGCATTAATATTCTCGAAAAATGCATTAAACTACTTGACAACTGCATTGATTTCACAAAGAATTGCATTGATACTTTGTCCATGTTTGCTTTGATACTTTGTGTGATCACTGATCTCTCCAACATTTCATTTAAAAACATTCGTAATTACGTGAATATTCTGGACAACTACACTGATATTATCAACAGAACATACTATGCGCTTAACGTCCTTCAGAGAACACAAACTGACGAAACAAAACATAAACTTGACAACTCACTTCTAACAGCTCACTTCTAACAGTTCTAACAGCTCAGACCTAAGATGATTCACTTTCAAACAACCGTGCTTTTAAAAACAAAATTAAACATCGAAGTTCTTCCCGATCTTGTCCACGCAAAGCATGATCGAAGCGAATCTCGTCCTTTGGTGGTGGTCATTACCTGGTTGACAAGACTTTCCCATTTCTAAGGGACGGGAGACACTTGGGAGGAGAAGCTATAGAACGGTGTAAATCATTTAAACAACGGCACAAATAATTTGCAGAATGTCACAAATCATTTGCAGAATGTGACAAATCATTTGACACAAAGATATGATCAGGATGCAACAAATTAAGAAGATTTTAGCACTATTTCAAATCTCATTTTCAAGACAGAATGAGCATCTACAAAAGCTAACAATAACTCCTTCCCCATTATACAGCAGAGATCCAGCTCCACAAAAAACCCGTTAATTTAATATTTCATACTAACAATTTATATAAATTATGGAGATCAAACTAATACCATCTTTATATGCTAAGACAATAACATTCTTGTGCATTTTTAGTAACATTTGATTATACAGAAGTAATTAAAAATGGTTTTTCATATGTCAAGCAATGCCCGCAATGCCTGGTTCTTCTTAACATTTGCTCTTGAAATGTTGGTTTGCTGCTTAGTGGCTGGTTGGATTTTTAGAAATGAAGTGTATTCTAAATTAGAAATTGTAAACAAAACAAGGTTCATTCCATATAAGACAACCCTGCACGCCAGCTTTTTGTCACCGTTTTTTTTCTTTACATTTAAATCCTTCCTAGCGTCTGGGAATTTAAAGAAATCAAACCCCGAAGGTAAACGAAATGCTTTAGGTAACCAATCAATCCTAACTTCAAAAATGTTAACCTTAGCTAATGTTATATTCACTGAAAAACATGCTGGATCGAAGAGCAATTCAGTATTGCTTGAGCCAAAGCCCAAAGCCACCATACTTTTGAAAGCTCACCGCGATTCATTATCACAAGAATTTCTAACAACTATTTACTAACTACTTAATTAGTTCTTATAGTTTCTTCTATTTTCCTTGATTGTCACTAGTTGTGATTCCTCAGCGCATATGGTATCCGATTACTACTGGAACACGATTTAGCTTCCAATCTTGCATTCCAATTTTGCTATTGCAGGAGACTGATTTTCGCAACACTGGAACATAGAACACAATAGGCTGGCACCTTCGATCACATTTTCCATATATATCTAGGCATTGTGCTGTGACAAGGCTTTGTGGTATCTGTTGAGCATTTTTCTCTGTTTCAACAAATCTATAACTGCATGGTCCACACATGACAAAATTGAACGGTGAATATGAAATCCTAGTTTCAGAATATTGCTCCTTAACAACCATGTAATCATTTGATGTGATGTGGTCTAGAGCTTTTGCAGCACTTGCAGGGTTGGGACAGCCCAACGGTACGGTCTCGCCAAGAGTCAGTACAACGAAGAGTACCATCTAGGGAATAATCGGAATAATTTTACGTAAATGAATATGGATATATGCTTGTATGGTAGATGCGAATCTATGAATAGAATTACTTGTATAGGATCACCACTCGGCCCGATATGGCTATACAGTTTTTAAATTAAATCGCATCTTATATCGCTCTAACAAGGAAGTGCTACTGCAAGTCATAATATAAACCACTAAAATCGGGCACTTATGATTTATTAAATGGCTCGTTAAGTTTAAAACTGGTTATTGCCTTCATGGGTATGAGCCTTTATAAAATGTAGCCTTTTATAAACCATTCATCATCGCACTGCTCAGAAATACATACCGTTAGGACGAATGCAATGTCTGCCATGTCTTCTTGAGTTTTTTACTGTGTCTTCTCTGCAATTCGTATGGTTAGCTTGAGCTCTTTAGCTTGGAAATGAAATCTTGGCTTCGTTTTCTCCATTTTATGTCATTTTAAGACGATTAGAATTGGCGTAGATAAAAAGAAAAAAAGGTGGGCGGTATCGTTCTTTCAATTGCACTAACCACCGACGGTGTCACCATAAGAAGTCCACTTGTCGAAAGGTAAAAATAACGAAGGGACTCCCAAAAACCCTTTATTCTCTGAATCTAAGAGCTTGCAGAATATTTCCGGGTAATGGCTATATAAAGCGATATAGTACGAGAATAAAAGGTTGATACACCTACGTGGTAGCAAAAGCTGTGCGAAAATTATAATAATTCGTGGGCTTCAGTTGATTTTTTTACACAATTTAAAAAAGTACAATTTAACAAGAACAAAGTTACAGTTAGGTTGACATTGGGGGCATGGTTGGCATGACTACCCATTGACTTTAACAAGTAATAATGAAACTGTAGCCTACTAAAGGCCATGCCAAGATTTTGAGTGGGTCGTTCCATAGAGATATCTGGTTTAGAACGAAATGTTTAGGGGCTACTGTTTGAATACAAAATTACAAAAGCATGAAATAAAATGTGCACAAATTTTGTATAGTTTTTAGTACTTTAGCTACAATTCTTAAATGTAGTACTTTAACTACAATTCTTAACATTTATGTGTTAGAGGAAAATGAAAGATTAGTAGAGAAAAGGTGGGAACAAGATACGGTTAACTAGCTTGGTGGTATTTGCTGGCGTTACATGAAACTTTTTAGTGTATGAATAAAATGTGCACAAAATTCCGGTACAGTTTTTAATATATGAATACATTACTAGACACTAAATGTTTTAGAGGAATATAAAAACATTGATAGAGAAGGATGAAAAACAAGATAAATTTAACTAGTTTGGTAGTTTATGCTAGTGCTACAAGAAACATTTTAGTGTATGAATTAATTTTTGCTTTACTTCAAATTTAATGTCTACTTAATGATAATGGGGAGAGGGAGGGGTGCGGGCAGCCAGGAATGGCTGCGAAATTAATCCCTCGAACCGTTACTTCTATAATGATCTGTGCATTAGCTTACTGCGAGACTGAGCGAGTTAAAATCCAGCGAGCTAATGGAATCATCTGAGGACTTTCTTATTGGGGTGATCGTAAAAAATCCGAGACAAGGCCTACAAGCAAGAATTTAGCAAGCGCAGTGAGAGCTTTGGATCAGCGACATTAAGTTACATTGCACTATGATGTTTAGATATATCTATAAAGATTAGCTAAACCAAAAAAGAGGAGTGGTGCAAAGTTTAGAGGCAAATGATTGGTAGTAATGTTAATTCTTAGGGGTATGTTTAAAACTTAATTGAAGTGATTTGAGTGTTAAATTTAGCTTTAAGTTACATTTGTTGAGCAATAAAAATTGTCAGAAAGAAGCTTGGAACAATTTAAAACGAATCTGCTTCTGAATTTTTAACATACATCCGTAGAAAGGATTGCAACGTAGAAGAGCAAAGAAAGGGCTTTACACCAAACTTTTGCGGCTTCAAAAGCTCTAGAAAGCTGCGCAGTTTCAGAGCTGCAATTTATTCTTCCTGCAATTTCCCAGTGCTTATAATTTCACAGATAGATTTTGTTTGATAGCTTACAGTGACAAACACAATACGGTGGGTTTTTTTTTGCAAAACCACGATCAAGTGCATTGTTCAGTCACGGGAAACGAAATGAAAAAATTGAGGTTACATTAAAATATATGATTTAACTTTCAATAAAATTATTGTTTTACTGGACTGTCATAAAATGCTCAACAAAACATTTTGGGACAAATGTTTTGTTGAGCTATTCGGGTTTGCAACAGAACCTTTTTCAGATATGAGCAGTCGTTTTTCAAACAATCTAGGCCCATCTATCCAAAAATGGGGTTAAAAGTTGAATAACACTTAAACTTTTGAATCATAGCTATAAAAGCATTGGGGATTTTACAATTTGTTTATAAATAATAGCAAAATCTGCAAAAGAAGTTTTTGCCTAAAAACGGAAAACTCACAAGTGCTTGGCAATCTTTTAGACATGTCCAAACGAATTCAATTTTTTTAGATTCACATTTTTATGTTGTACGTTGCAACTTGCAACTCCTAATTTCAACGCTCATGCAACACCAGGTAACTTTTAGGAGCCCCAATGAAAGAATCAACACCGGTTTCCTCCTTCCCAATTTAATGTTGTAGGGTTAGCAGTCATAACTGTCTAATAGATCATTTAGATTATTCTGATGGACAAAAGAAGGTTTACAAAAACTATAGAGCAGATCACATCACCCTAACGATAATGTTCGTTGCGTGGTGGGGAATTCTCAGGCTACATTATTGGCCTTTCAGCGCCGACATCTTGTATGCAGGCCTATTTTGCAGCCGGGTTCAAAAATGAGACGATCCGATTATATTCTGTATACTAATCACAGCTCTTGGTTTCGACAACCACGTTTCATTCAATTCGATTAAAACTCTGGTTTGTTTACGAGAATTCACTTGACTTAAGAAGCCTCACGTTCATTGAGCGGATCGCGTGGGTTTTAAACTGATAGTGGAACTCTACAAGAAAGAGGAAGGTTGTATAGCAGTCCTATACTAAGGTAAATACCCAAGGCACATAGGCAAAGGAGCACGTGGGATACGTTTTCCATAACCAAAAAAGAGGGTGGTAACTAAGTACTTGCTATGAGTGAGCTCGGTCCATCACATGATTAAATAATGATTTATACAAAAGAGAGTCAGGAACAAACTAATCACATTGATTCTCGTCGTCTTATTGCTTTGTTCCTGACTCTTTTTCGTAGAATCCGGCGGACGCATGAATCCGCAAGATTCATAGAATCCGGCGGGTGGCCTACCCTGCGTTCGCTCCTTCTTACACATAATGATTGATACTCAAGGTTAATGAAGAAATTAAGTGAACAAAATGACGTTGTGTAAAATAAAATTACGATGCAACATAAACTGAAGAAAGTATCAAGAAGTAAGACTAAAGATTCGATCAAATTGGAGTATATATATCGCTGAAAATTTTCAAATATCTTTATACCATAGCTCAAGTTGTTCGACAATCTACACCAGAGGGAAGATCAACTCCATCATAGGTTGACTATCGCCTTCTATAGACTTATCGTTAATATTTTGTTCGATTAATCCAAATACTTTAAGCGGAACTAAATTCTTGGAAAAAGAATCCTCGGGCTTACATCTAAGCCGATCAAAGTAAAGTGTAGATAGCATTTACTCGTAATAAAAAGTTATGGAAAAAATATGAAAATAGCGGCTTCATGAAAGAGAAGGTTTTTTTTGTCTTCCTTATTTAGGAAATAGTAACGGGCAAGCCTCAAGTAACAAAAGGAAATAGTAATAAAACTGACGATATCTTGTTCCTCTATTGATCTCAAGATATGACAACCGATTCACATCGGAAGTGCATTTGTTCGAACGATACTTGAACGTACCTATAACATGCGTTCTGTGCACGTGTGCTACACTGATACTCAAACTTAACTATTCATTGTGATATCTTGTCGCCTAGAGAGCAAGAAGTAGGCAAACAGGCTTAGCATAGACACTCATTCATACTCAGAAGAGAAAAAACTACTTGATCAGCTGTAATCTGTTCAATAGGAAAATTTTAGCTGAAGACAATTTCTTTTCATTTCGCTGCTTGAAATATTAAACTGTTTTTGATACTTGATAAGAAACAACAACTTCAGATGTGAAGAAAATATATGTTAAGTAACACAGGAACGGTTTTATTTTATCATCTCTGTCTCATGGATCATCTAAGGTTGAACAAAATTTGATAAAATAAAATAACGACTTTGTAAAGAAATGAATATTTGGTACAACGTTTCCAGCATAACTCCTGATGAAGAGTCATGCTCGAAACGTCGTAGCAAATATTCATTTCTTGTACAAAGTCGTTATTTTATTTTATCAAATTTTGTTCATTTCCGACGTACAACACGCACAACTTCATTGATCATCTTAGATTGCATGAGAAACTGCATACAATAACTCAATCTTATAGCCATTCAGTACAAACGACTCTCTAGATCTAGACTAACGGCTTTGCTAATTTACTAGAAATCGACTGGGCATTACTCTGATGTCTACCAATCAAATAACGAGACAGTTATGGCCCACGAGAAACTGATAATCGTATGATTATAAATATACTTGGGCTTTGAATCTTTGAATAAAATATCCACCCCATATCAACTGATTACAATGGATGGCCCTGTCTGCAAAAGTCCCCAAAGGGATGTGTCGTATGTTGCTAATGGATGACGGCCATCAGGAAGTTAGTCAGGTAGCTGGCAGCAAAAAGTTAAATATAATAGATTTATACAGATACAATTTTACAACTGCTTTGAAGTAAAGTAAAAAGTCGGTCAAAGATGTGTCTATTGAAATCAAGGCAGTTCACCCAAACATATGGAAAATTTAGGGGTAGCCAGTAAAGATAGAACTGATGAATGGTGGTAGGAGGCTTTAAAAGCAAAATAAAATCGATAAAAATGAACGCATTGGAAACAATTATCGAAGAGTGCCTGGTAAACACTATCCAGAAACCATCGATTGCCAAGCGTCGGTCTTTCTTTAAACGACACCATCGGATTGTAACAAAACGGTGTGCTTATCAGCAAAACGAGGTTGCTTGCTCCTGTTGCACACAAATCGAAAATTTACGCTGACACCGTATATAGTCTGGTTAACTGTTGCTCTTTGGTAGAGGCATTATTGAGTAAAAAAACCAAGGAAAAACATGATTCTGACATAATGTTCCAAGTGAAGCAAAGACTGCTGTCACCAGTTTCAAAAGTTTCAAGAGTAACATATGATGTCACCATCTTTCCCAGTACTGAAAACATTCTTTTGAATTTGCGGTTGGGAAAAATTGCGATTACGTTGCTGAAAGGGAAACGGGACTTCTCTTCAAACCTATTAAATACATATTTCTTGAGGTATTGAAAATTCAAGCCACAATCTAATCTTTCGAAGCGAATGAAAATATGTATTCTTTCTTGATGTACTTTTCATTCCATACTGAAGAGTAAAACTCCTACGCATTACTTCAAAAGATGAAGTGTGCTGATCGGAAAATTTCGGTTTCTCCAGAATCCTTCTGAGAAAAAAAGGCAGGCCAGTTGACGAGAAGATGAAACCGAATACTGACTTTACAAGTAAAGAGAAAAAGAAGGAAAATTCCGCGAGACGAGTCCTACATATAGCTTTTTATGTATTGATTTTTCAAAATGTCCTTCTGAGAACAAACTGGGCCGACTGGTCAGGCATAAATAAGTGAAGGCTAAAAAAGTCAAGATGATGGGACCAGTTTGGGATGCATTTCCATACTTTACAAAAACAACATTTTTCAGATATAAAATAATAATGTGAAAATGATCGCATTTATGGGGAATCCTGATTATAACCATTAAGGGCACTAATAAACGCCTGGGGCTTTTCAAGTTTTACATGTTTGCTGCGATATAAAACTTTGTGAATGCTGCCAAATGGGCCAAAAATTAGAAGATTTAAACGAGAAAATAACTTTAAACAGCCATATTGAAAAATCCTTTAAAACCTGAAAGTGTAGCTCCTATAAGCCAAATAGCTACATTTTATTGGGTTGCATTCACTTAAAATACGATTGACTTTGAGGTATCGAGAGATTTTGCTGTGGCAGTAGCATTGTTTAGAAACGGTTCTACAAAAGCAAAGAAAACTCGTACCTCGTGTTGCCATAACAGCTCTGAGGTCATCGCCTTCCACAAGGAGCTTGTATGTCTCCCCTGCTTCTTTTTTAGCTTCATCGGCATGCACTATTGCCCGACTGACATTTGCATATCCCTAGAAAAGCATCAAACATTTAGGTGCTGTAAAATAATTCCAGGCACGGTATTATTCCAGCCTAAATTAAGAGAGAAAAATTGCCAGGAGCCATGCTTTTTTAGGCCTAAACACTAGCTAGTGGCAATTTTTCATTTGATTCTTAATGCTAATTAAAGAAGGGAGATAAAAATGAAACAATATGAAAAAACAAAACAGTTTAGAACTGACTGTGTTCAAATTAAGATACGGCAATTTCATTTTCATAAATGGCTAAAATTAATAAAATAATTTATATAAGATATGCGTTAATATTAAAACAACTGAGATAATGAAGAGTACAACAAGGGGGCAGTTGCAGAGTAATAACAATCATTAAAATAACAAATCTATTTTGCGTCCTTCGATTACTACTTCAGAAAAAGGTTAGACGGCTTCTCTAATCCGAAGTGGTTTGGAGGGTTTCCCATCCTTATTTCATCAAGATTTCTTAAAACAGACACTGCTTGAACACTTTTTGTTCTAGATTCATTGCTTATCAAAGACTATTTATTAAGCATTTTACAAATTTACGATGTTAACTTTGAAAATACTAGGCGTATGATTGTACAGAAATATGCATCAACCTGTTGTTAATCTGGTCTATTTGACGTATCTGATTGCTAAAAACTAACACTAGCCAAGAATATTAGATATCTTTTTAATTTTCGATCACTTCTACAAATAAATCAAAAAAATAAATCATAGCCAACGCCAGTAGAGTTCTAAAGCGATGACGTCACAAAATCTATTTTTAGAATTTTTTAATTTGGATCCCATAACCTAAAAGAGCATCATGAAATACCTCTAAATGTGCAAAATCAGGCAAGTGTATTACGAAATAGCAGAGATATGGCCACATGTTTATTGGTTCTCTCCCCATCAAACCTCTGTATTTTGGTCTCGGTTCATAACTTTACAAACAGTGATTCGTTAGCAAACTTCAAATCGTTCATTAGCCATATCTCAACCGATTTTAGAAATATTTGGCCAATTTTGCGTATTTGGTAGTATTTCATGGTGATCATTTACGCTATGTGATTAAAATTCAAAAATTCTAAAAATAGGTTTTTGATGACGTCATACTTTAGAACTCTATAGCAGCACAATAAGAACAAACTACCGTACTTAGAACAAACTACAAAGAATAAAGTATATATGACATATAATAGACTAAAACATTTCTATGACAGACAATAATAAAATCTCTGACAAATATGGTCAAGATAGATGTAGAGAAACTGGGAACACATACCAAATTAAATTAGACATGTTTTAACCTTATATGCCCTCAAGAGAAAATTAGAAAGACGACATAACCCGGTACATTAATAGAATTGAATTCACCTGTAAGCATATCAGTAACATTGAATACATCGATTGAAATGCATATTGATCACGTTAGGTGTATCATGTTGTCGTGTGCCTTTGTTGTTTGGTTTCAATGGGCTTTCATTTAGATATCATTTGTATAATACAAAAATTGAGAATACCTTGACCAATACGGATGGAAGTGTTCCCTTCAGTGACTGCATAACATAATACATAGAGCTTTTGTTTGTTTCTTGTGGGTACAATGTAATAATGTCTTTGCCATGAACCGATACATGCTAAAGAAAGAAAAATTGCCTGTCTCAGTTTACTATCATTTAAAAATAATACGCTAGATATCAGACAACGTCAATTCTGAAGAATTTTTCCTGACTTAATTATTAAAATTAAATCTTTTGCGTAGCCATTATCATGACATTTACAGCTTATCCTTTTCTTGACAAGACGTGAAAAGACCTGATTGCCCAAGGTTAGGATACAAAATTGAACAAACCTAAGAATTTGTTAGTAAATATAATTTGTGTGTATTTCTTGTAGATGTGTTTTTAATTTTGTTTTGTTACGTGTTATTCATGTTAATGGCTGCGGAGTTGTCATGGTACCGTGCACTTCATGGTATCGTCACGGTATCGCTCTTGTAGTGTAATCAAGTAGTTTCTACATAGTATAATGAATAGCTTGTAATTGTAAAATTTTTCATTGAATATAAAAAATCATGTCATTGTAGTCCAGACAAGTTTTGATAAAACATAAAACAAAAAAGATGTATACTAGCTTATAATCACAAATCCAAACAAAATGACTTAAACCTTTCACCAGAGTTCTACAATCAACCGGCTGCTGTCCTGCAGAAGACATAAAAAATTAACGAAAACCATTGAAAATTACCTGTGGCTTGATCTTCAATTTTGGCGCAGTACAAAGAGCAAATTTGATCGAGTAGGCATCTATTTCAAGCTGGAAGAAAGAATGTTCTTAGATAGCTTGACATAAGAACACAGAATGACAGTAAAAACTATGGATTTTAGAAATTGTTCCTCTCTGAACACGTATGGATTCTTTCAAAACACAGACATGCCTACAGCAAAAAAATACGACGAATGTTTTATTTCTAGTGACAAGAGCTCTTGGCATGTTCTTATTGCTTGCTAGATATTGGAGGGAAAGGGATGTAATTTTGATCAAAGAAAAAATTGCATGTTATTTAAGAGACAATCAAAAAGTTTATCTTTCGTTTGGGTCAAGTCCCACTTTAAAATAAAAACTAACAATTTCGATGTCAATTTTAAGTAAAGAACCAGTCGAAATTCTGTTTTGATAATAACATGATGATAGCAAGAAGAAATACGAGAAAAAACGTCAATATATAATCTTAAAATAAGCAACTATGTTCTGTTGAAATTGATAAGATCTGTAACAAACTCAAAACGCCTCTTTCCTGTAACTTGACTAAACAAAACAGGTATACGAAGGAAAAAAAACCTTGGTTTGAACAGCTGGTCTGCAAAAATTGATCTAGATTTAAAACAATTCAAGCCAAAACATTCTAATAAAAAGAAGTAAGCAATTTATAAAGAAAAGAGTGGAAAAGTATATTTTATTATCATAAAATACAAGGGGTTAGAAATAAAACAGTTGAAAAATATTGGAGTTCTGAAATAGGCTTCATTTGCAATTAAAGTTTCTTTATGAAATTGCCAATAAAAGTACCTTCAAGAACTTTTAAATTGAAAACAAAGAATCAGTGACCACAAATTATAATCTTATGATAAATGCTTGCAAAAGGTGTGAAGTACATTTTTTTAGTTGTTTATGTTAGGGAAAGGCTCAGGGGCCTAAACAAGAGAAAGAGATAAAGGATTAGGAGGAAAAAGAAGAAAGATCACATTTGTTTTCTTTTGTTTTGAACATTGATATATCTAAGTGACAGGTTAAAGTGCCTTGGCTTAATAACAATCGATGTGACTAGCCATTTCATCAACATTTATCAACATTTGAGATGCGGCCACGTTGAGTGGAACACCAAGAAGCTGCCTACTGTTGGCTGAGGATGGTCAGCAAGCATACATAATACTGTCTAGGGGCCAATATTTGATCACTATTGGCTCTGGATTGCAGATCAACCAAAAAACTGTATTGGATACTAGGCTTACCTTCAATAGTCGAACACGATTTAAGTCGACTTTTATTAATAAATAACACGAGTCCGGAAGGAAGCACTCTTCAATGTACTCGCATATCTGCAAAATATAAAATTATTTGCGACATAAAGTTTCTGTAATATTCAACAATAAGAGGTTCTGAAGGGAAACAGATAAGAAAAACACCAAGAGCCTGGATGTAATTCTATAGCTTGTTACACTTGCTAACGAAATAGAGTTCGCTACCAAATTCTTGTAAGCCTAAAAATATCAAGCAAGTATGTGGAAACATGTGTACAGAGAAAAAATAAATTAGTCAACATTCTTCGTGTCTTTACTTGCGTGTTATGCAAATCAGAAAAAATTATGAAAATTTAAAGAAGTGAAGCGTCAAAAAGTGATCAAGACACAGGCTATACTATGAAAAAAGATGACAGAGAAGAAGAAATCTTGTTACAGAATAGATATATGACAAAACAACAACAAAGTTAATGAGGATGTTACTTGATTATTCTGCATTTCGCAAAAAATTGAAAATCATTTAATTGAAGGAAGTTTGATGTTAGGGAAGTATACATCTTGGCAATGTTTTAGCCTAGGCTGCTAATGCGAAATGATATTGGGAATCAAGCTTTTTAATTCACATACCACTACTGTATTAAGAAAAATAGATTAAAATAGCTTAGAGTTGAGATAGTTTAACTTACAAAGAAAGGATAGATTCAAAATCTGGCAGTCGATTTATAGACGAAAAGATTTTCAAAATTGGGACAGGTGATTTACAGAAAACGTCGTAAAAATGCGAAATAACTTTTCCTGTCTCTAGCCAATCAATAATTTTGCCAGTAATATTGGGAATTTGTACCAACTATGACGCCAAAAAATGTTCCACAAAAAATTAAAAATTACCTCGCCTAATGTTGTCTTCTCAATCCTCCCTTTCACCACTCTCGCAGCCTCAATATCATTGCTAACATCAAGCGGTGCAGCTATGATGGGGGTACTGATGTTCTTGGATGCGTTGATGATTTCTTTTATGCGTGGTACACCAAGCGTGATATCGAAACAGGGCGTCAAGGAAAAACATACCCTTCAAAAACTGGATTAAAGAACCATTGACAAATGATTTGAGCAGACGTAAATACTAAATGACAAGTTACCAACGAATTGACAAGAAAGGGACATGTCTTTGCTTTTTCTAAAGACGATTAAAAAAGCTTTTTGTACCGCAAAATGCAAAAAACAGATACTTAAATCGGAAGGATACTCATGGTAGCAACACCAGCAAAATGAAAGGTTTTGAGTGTCATTTGAGTGCCAGGCTCACCAATCGACTGCGCACAAACAGCTCCAACGGCTGAGCCAGGTTCTATTTTGGATCGCATGTATTTGTCTAAACACACCTGAAGGACTTTTCTAAGCTGAGACTCAGTCACTCGGTCTACCTGGTACAAAACTAAATAGAAAAAGTTTGGCACATTAAGTACTTCAAATAAAGAAAATCTACAAAAAAGGACAAAACAACTGCGTTAAAGGAAAATTTATGAAAATTTTTGTGAATAAATAAAGAAAACATAGTTATCCTGTCGCTTTGTACGAAGAATGCCAGTACTCTTTTGATGCTTTGTAGGTAGTTTCATAGCATCGCTACGCCCATGGTTAGTTTTACTTCGTAATTCAGTTAGGTTTCTTTTAGGTACTGGTATGAATTAAAGGCCAAAGTTAATTAAAACGTTTACTGTGTTCTGATCAATGTGTCCACCTGAGGTGTTTATTAATTTGGGCTTCGCCGTCTCTTTATTACAGCTACCGAAATTTGATTATCCGTTAGATGATGTTCATACCTAAAAGAAACCTAGCTGAATTACGAACAGATATCCGTAAATTCTACAGAAAACTTCGTCTTATAGAATATTTTGCTGAAAAACCAATGTCCAATGATGACAGCCTCGTAAGTCCAGAAAGTACATTCTGCCCAAATAGAAATCGTGATCCAATATTAGATATATACATAGGCTTCCTACTTAAATACCCTATTGAGGATAAACTGAAATAAGCAAACAAAATACAAAATAATCTTAACAAGATGGAATGGAAAGGAATCATGGAACTCAAAAACAATAACAATATTGTCATTAAACAAAGCGATAAAGGTGGAGCATGCGTAATCATGGACTCTAAATACTACAGAAACAAAATGATACTACTAGTAGATGATAAAGAAACTTACAAAAGACTGGCAAAAAATAAAGACAGCCAAGTTCTCAAAAAAATAGAAGAACTAACTCGCGCGCACGCAAACAAACTGACCGAGAAAGAAGTGAAATATTTAACAAAGTTCAATTACAAAACCAGCCAACTGTACGGACTACCAAAAATACACAAAAGCAGATTGTGTGACTTTCTAGATATAATATTAAAACCGTATGTACAACATAAAAGGAGCCATATCAGAGATGATATTGACTTTTTAACAAAGATTCAAAGAGAAATTAGCCTTGACATCGACGTGACAAATATGTACACAAATATCGATAACGAACTTGGAAAAGAAGCTATCGTTTACTGGATAGACAATTATCCAAACGAAACCAAACAAACATATCGAAAGAATTCATAATTGAAGCTCTTTGCCTAGTTTTGGAATGTAACACATTTTGCTTTGATAATCAGAACTATAAACAAGTACGGGGAACTGCAATGGGTACAAAGATGGCTCCGACTTATGCAACTCTGGGTATGGGATATTTAGAAACAAAATTATACAACAAGATTGAAGAGAAGTATGGGATCACAGTGAAAAACCAATTTATAGGTGGTGGCGATACCTCGATGATTGTTTCCTCATATGGGACCATAACATAGACAATTCAGAAAACATACTAGCTCTGTTACAGAGCTTGCACAAAGACATCCAGTTCACTATGGAAGAGAGTAAACAAAATATCAACTTCCTGGATGTAAAGATAATAGTTGAAAACAACGAACTTATAACAGAACTATACCAGAGACCCACGGATAGCCAACAATATGTTCATTTTAAATCTTGCCACCCACCACACACCAAAAGGAATATTCCATTCAACCTTGCACGACATCATTGCACCATCATTTAGAAAGAAACTTCAAAAGAACAACACCTACTTAACTTAGAATCAACACTGTTAAAGCTAGACTATCCCAGAAATCTCATCGAGCATAGTATTCAGCAAGCAAAGAAAATCCCTTTAGAAGAACTTCGAAGCCCAGCACAATACCGAAAAACAGCCATTAGCCTTTGTCACTACTTTCAATCCCCGCAACTTCGACATTTTCAAAGTTATAAAGGAAACAATTTCAATGCTTGATCCAACCTTATTAACAGTAAACGACAGCCTGCCAACATCAAACAAATTCTTTCAAGAGCCAAATATTGTTCAAATCAAACAGCAGAAATACAGGCAAGCTTAAATAGCTGGTCTGTTCACAAATGCGATGAAAAGAGATGTGGAACCTGTGCAATTATCTTGGAATGCAACGAAATTAAATCTAAAAGATCTCAAGTTCCCTTCAGAATAACATGCAAAATGGACTGTACTGTTAGAGACGGTATCTATCTCATTAAATGTGGAGGATGCGATAAAGAATATATCGGGGAAACCTCAAATTTAAGAGCCAGAATGAAAGTCCACAAGCAACAAACTCTAGATCCACGGCTACGAAACTTATACGTGAACCATCATATAGCACACTGCGCTATTGGCGAACCAACACTATTTAAAGTTGTGCCATTTTTTTCTGTCAACCGTGATGACAAATTATACCGAGAAGAAATAGAGCAATATTTTATAAGAAAATTTAAACCAGAATTGCATATTCAAGACATTCAAGACAAGATACAGAAATCACACCGCATCTTTCCGTCACACAAAACACAGAAATTCCACAGAACTCAGTAAATACATCTGGACCCTAAAAGACAATATCATCGACCACTCCATTTCCTGGCGCATCCTCTTAAAAAGCCATCCTACAGCAGCTCAAATAAAAGATGCAGCCTTTGCCTTAAAGAAAAGACCCTCATTATCTGCCACCCCGAATTATCAACACTCAACAAACGAAACGAACTCGCATCTTCTTGCCGCCATAGAAACAAAACACTATTATGTAACACCTAAATCCCTTTATGTACCGCCCCTAATTCACCTTTTGTAAAACCTCACACATTATGTAACACCTGTACCGTATTATCTATTTATTCAAGGAATATTCCAGTATATCATATCTCCTGAAGAGTGAGTTACTCACGAAACAGGCTTGCAGAGATAAACCATGTAGTTTTACTTTCTTCAACTCTATGATATGTATATATATAGGTATATGTATGCGTTCCCCGCGATCCACTACAAAGTGTACTCAATTCTTCGTACACAAAAATGACCTTATCTAATCGAAAATGTATAATTGGCAGGAGTATAAAATTCTTCGATAGACGAAAAATCAAGAAAACAGAAAAGTCGGTTGGGCACCCGTATACCGGATGCCCCTTTGGTCCACAGTTACTGTCCATTCAAAAAGCTTTCCGTTGTCTGGACATTACAGGTACGGGGAGAAAAACCGCACGAGAGAAAAATGTTACGAAAGTCTTTATATAGTGTCTGCTTTTAGAATATGTCCGTTTGAAGTACTTTCACTGCATTCATAGTAAGTTAAGATGGAAACATAATCAGCAGGAAAGGAACGCTTTCTCATTAACTGTTAAATGAAAGAAAGAACTTGAAATCTCCTCGTCTTTATTTAAACTTCTCTGGATCTCATCATCGAGCTAAACTATTGAGCATTCATATTCTAGATCAAAGATTCAATAACCTTATTTACCATTTCCTTTTTGGTCTTCATTCGAGAAATACCTGAAGAGGAAATGAATTGACTTACATTTTTAAATTATTCATTGTGCAAATCTTCAGTAGACGAAAAATATGTAAAAAAACCCTTAAAGAAACATCTGTTAATCTATTCGAAAAATACTTAAAAAACGATATTTCGAAGCTTTTGATGCCTAAACATATGATTATCAGTCACTATAGCCCCCTGGTAACCTTTGAGCCAAATTCAAATCAGAACTAAAATTTACATTCCTACATTTTTAAGGTATGACATATCAGGAAGTAACAGGATCAGAAACAAAAAAGGCCAAAAACGTGGTATCAAAACAACAGTGCACAAATTTGCTGATGACGTCACAAAAGCCTACTGTTAGAAATACCACTTAATCTGCAAGTTTAAACTTAATATGTTATAAATTGGCTGGGATAGGGGCATGAGTGCATAAGATCTTTCCCCAGTTATTACTGTAAATTATTCGTGGTTCATGAAAATTTCAAATCAGTCAACTGTTGGCAAACTTCCGATCTTTCGTTGGCCATATCTGACCCAGTTATTGATATACTTAATTGACTTTGTTTGGTTGTGGGTACTTTATGGTATACTTATATCAGTTATATTTCTAAAGTCAAACATTCTAAAGAAATATCTTTACCACGTCACACTTGAGAACTCTATTTAGGCAGAAATTCTACTGATCTCTTAATGAGGTATTATATCAATTTTGGTAATCAGGATTCACGAAACTTTGAAAGTTAACAAATGAATACGCCCATAGTGCCAATGGATTCACTTTGAGAAGCATTCACTTTGTAAAGGCGGAATGCGGCATGTTTTAAAATCCAATACACACCGGGTATTGTCTATATGAAGCCACTGTCTGGTTCGTTTTACTCCTTCCGCCACAACATTAAAGAAGTCTCTGAAAAAGAATAAACAAAGCTAAGAAACACGCAATGGCATTCGAAATCTTTACGTATCTGCTTTTGTAATATAATGATTCTGTCACAAACATAATTGTGCTCTCTGTAGCTTCTGATGCAAGAAGAATAACATTGATAAGAAAAACATCAAGAAGACATTAACCAGAACAATCACGTTGTTTAGGGCACATATCAAAGAGTGGTTCAATTTAAATATTCATCAAGCAAGGACGGTCTAACCTCCTAGAAATGCAAACAAGGAAGTTGAATAAACACTGGAATTGCTCGCAAATACCGCAAATACTGAGACTTATTGCAGACCATATCGCTTTGACTGGCCTTCAGTCTTCAGAGATATTGCCTGAAGCCAACAATAATGCACGACTTTTGCCAACAATGATGTCGGTGGATAGCTTCAGGCCTGTACTGTCAGGATGGCTACGACAACTTAATGATTACAAAGTAATCCCTGGAGCACAGAAAATAGGCCAACTGCTTTCTTTTGCTCTGGCGGGAGAAAAACTTGTTTAGGAAAACACATAGATACTTCACTCCACAAACCTAAGTTCTTTAACAAATGCTCCTCCGCATGACTGCATATCTTTAGAAGTAAGGAAGTCCTCAACAACGGTCTGAATCTCTGAAGGAGAGAGCGCTTTCTCATTCCGGAAGACCTCTTTACTCTAAAATAGGAGCAAAATCTCAAAAGGAATTTGTCTTTAATATAAAAAATTCCTAACCTCTTTATTCACTTTAAATAAAAATCTTCTGTTGTGGGGAAGTTTTATAATAGGGAAGGGGTAGCCTGCGTGCAGACTTTACTTTCCATTGCGAAGGAGTGCCAGGACGAAACTTGTAATGAATTGCAAGAAACAACTAAAGAAATATTCCGAACATGTAGAAAATGATGAAAAGATCTGAAAAGGAATTGTCCCATCCTTAGAGATAATTTAAAAAAAAAAACAGAGAAAAATGTAAGAATAGAAGACTACGTTTATTGGTTTACAGATAGGGATGGTTCTAAGGCAACTGCAGAAACGAAGACTAAATACTTTTTGGCAAAGGCTGCAAGAGAAAAATGACTTGAACCTTGCAATGGGAAAATATCCGGTGAATATCAACAGGCTTGTCTTTTCCTTCCATGGCTGCAGGATCTAGGCCATCCTCCCCATATATAAACTGGACTATATCGTTTGTAGATGTACGCACAGTGCAGTCGTATTGTGACGACAAATCTTCAAGAGACTACGAAGAAAATTCATTAACAAAAGCAAGTTCTAAGAACTTTAAAGATAACTGCAAAACTGTTTCTAACAGTAGAGGGTGCAAGATCAAGTAGTATTCATACAAGGAGATATTTTTGCTGCAGCTGGTACAGAAAAAAATATTGTCTATTTATGTTGTAATATCGTTGAGTATAGATGTACATATGCTTAGGAATTACGGATTCCACAAGGTTTGATATTCATTATGTGCATAAAACCATACCGGTGCCTCAGTAAGACGTATAATTTGTCCGAATTTACGGCATTGAGCGTTGACAATTTTTACAAAAACAGTACGAAATGCAATGACACATAACTAACTTAGTTGTATGTGGACTATTCATCTTCAAATTAGAAGTAGATCTGGCTGCTAACCTAGAGCATTCTTACCTTGACAAGGCGTCTTTGCATGTAGCCTGTCTCTGCGGTTTTCACAGCTGTGTCAACAAGACCTAAAAAAACAAGGAATAAAAACATTGACGGAAACCGTCGCAAAAATAATCAAAAATTCTCACGAATTGGTTACAGCAACGCAGCTCATAGCCCACAACTAGAAAAGGCAATTGAAATTCTCGAACAACAAAACGTAAATAAATATTCAGAGATTCTCTATTTTACATGAAAACACAGAAGACGCTTTCAGTTCTAGATGCTGCACTGTTCTTTATTTTTACAAATTTGCTACCAATGTAATGCAATTGATAGTATTTCAATTTCTTTGTAGTTTGCGCTATTCATAGGTAAAATGGAATACTAGGCAAAAGTATTCTTTCCATCTAGAGCTCTGTTCTACCCAAACGCCTCTTAAAATGGCAACTTCTAAATCTACTGAGAACCCCTCTAGTTGTAACTTCAATGTGTCTAAAAATGTTAAAATATAGGATACTGAGCTGCATACTTTAAAGACAGTGGGGTCTTTGACATCGACTTTTATTTTACTTTCATTTTAAGAGAGATATCCACTAAGGTCTTTTCTAGCAAAATGGCAACATGTATATGCATACCTTCTCTGCCGGCCATCGTGTGAAAGAAGAACTCAGTTGGAGTCATTCCCGTAAAGAAGCTGTTTTCGACAAATCCTTTAGCAGCAGGGACTTTTGCTGTAGTAAACAAAAGAACAAGACATTAGAAGAATAAGACCTTAGAAACAACAAAGATTTAAGAAGAACATTACATAGAGAAAAAGATTGAAGAAGAGCAAGTCTATAGAAGAACAAGATTTTAAAAGAAAAAGACTTTAGACGAACTAGACATAAGAAGAATAAGACATTAGAAGAATAAAACATTGGAAGAAAAAGACCTTAGAACAACAAAGATTTAAGAAGAACATTACATAGAGAAAATGATTGAAGAAGAGCAAGTCTATAGAAGAACAAGATTTCAAAAGAACAAGACTTTAGAAGAACAAGATTTTAGAAGAACAAGACTTTGGAAGAATAAGACATAAGAAGAAAAAGATATTTGAAGAAAAAGACAGAAGAAGAACAAGACTTTAGGAGAACAAGACGTAAAAAGTACAAGACTTTAGAAGAACAAGACATTGAAAGAACAATTTTTAAGAAGAACAAGACATTAGAAGAATAAGACATTAAAAGAACAAGACTCTCGACTTGTGAAGAACAAAACATTAGAAGAACAAGATTGAAGAAGAGCAAGTCTACAGAAGAATAAGACATTAGAAGAACAAGACATTAGAAGAACAAGACATTAAAAGAACAACTTTTAAGAAGAACAAGTCTATAGAAAAACAAGATTTTAAAAATACAAGGCTTCAGAGGAACAAGATTTTAGAGAAGAAGACTTAAGACGAACAAGACCTGAGATGAAAAAGATTTTAGAAGAAAGAGAGCTTGGCAAAACAAGACTAAAGACGAACAAGACCTTAGGAAGATAAGGAAACAATCAGAACGATAATTTGATGATATTGATAAAATTGCTTAAATGCTGTAATGAAGGTAAATTGTTTGGAGTTACAATAAACAATACAAACAAGATGGCGGTAGTCAAGAAAAATCAATATAGAAAACAAACATTACGACTTGTTATAGCACTTCACGGCGTTCAAACTTATTATTGATACACAGTCAGCACAGTCAGAAACATACAGGTGTTTATGGATTCCAAATACACAGAAGAACCCCATTTCCAAAAGGTTACCATGCTTCAGTCAGTTCAGTTCAGTTTATAATATCAAAATTCCTCTACATACAAACATTTTCAAAATAAGCTCATTAAGTGCAAATAAATATAAATACAAAAAATTACAAGGATGTAAGAAAAAGTAGTCATTTGCAGTATGGTTATATTTTCTTTATCTCATCCTCGATCCTCAAACAAATGCAGCTACAGTTTTCTACCGTGTGTACATTGTATATTTTTTTCTAAACTAGATGATGAAATAGATAATCAATATGAAATGATATTGTAGAGTCAGAATTGATCGGTTGAATGAATGCATGTCTAAAATTCTTGAAGCTACAACCCCGGACAAAATTTTTGAGACAAAATCTTGCAATTTTCTACTTTACGTTGTCCCTGTAAATTCGAATCGCCCCCTTCACCCCCCGTATCACTTTTGGATTTGTAGTTCTATCATTTCTCTTTCAAAATCATGCATTCAACATTGATTTGGGGGGGGGGGGTTATTTTCTAAATGAAAGAGAAAATATAAACTTTCCTTGAAAAGTCTCAACTCTTTTTGTCCGGGATTGTAGATTTTCAACAAAATACACTGCCCTGATTCAATGACTTACAATGTTTTTTAAAATGGGGAAGAGATCTGCCTTCAAATCCATCAGGAGTTCTTTTTCCAGAAATAGCTTGCTGTCCTACACATGCAATCATTTGTGATATATTGATGAATGAACCTAAGAAAGAGAGATATACAAATATTGGACAAGATGTAATTAACAAATGAATAACTTAAAGAAAACTAATTAATAATTAATTAAAGAAAACAGTTACTACGAAACGCTTCAGAAGAAAGACAAAAACTAGATGAGCAGCGAATCAGCTAACACTAGCAAAAAATTCCTGGCCGCCCTCAAATATGCTTTGTTCTTAATCAAGAGCCTACCCCAAATAAACACTGCCCTCGCTAAACCGCCCCCCTCGACAGAGCATCGCGCCTGAACTTTTATCAAAGAATGTGCCCCGAACTTTCTCGAAGCAAATACCGTAGGTATGAAGAATTTCATTTCTTAAAATTGCAGTTATAAAAAGTGTCATCTTGAACCATAGAACGGCTGATTCTTTCCGTTATGTGAGGGATAACAGAAAGCAAAAAAAGCAAAAGGGTGTTATCTCATAGTCAACTCAGTTTGATCCAAAGCATGATAAGTTCTGCAAAGAACCTTAACAGGAATCTTCTACTTAAAAGGCGAGTTTTGATCCAGTGAGAAATCTACCCATTTTTTTCGCATCTTGTAACTTACGTCATTCGCAAAACATAGTTACAGATTTTCAATTACAAATTTTTGAGTGTAGAAATACACAGGGAAGCATTGCAAAGCTATGCCGAAAAGATACGTCTCCATATAATTTTCCTACATCAACAAAAAAACTCACAAACATCTTTATCAGAGTTCTAAGCTATCATCTATGAAAAATACAAAACAACAAAGATGTTCTTCCGACATAAAACAATCTATGTGGATTGCTTGAAAATATAGAAGAGAGGCAGGTGATTTTTAGTGAAATGACTTGACTTTTTACGTTTTCTTACATAGATAAATCCTGAAGCTGCCACGATTCATAAGGATGAGCAAATGATTGTTTATTGAGCAATACTGTGTTAGAGATGAAGATAACACAATTACACAAAAACAAGTAAAATGCAAAGAAAAGGCTGAATACCTTGATAATAAATGGATTTGGCGTGGCATGAAAACAGCGGGAAATATACCAGAGAAGGCTGCTTTGAAGTGTTTTACAGGCATTGTCTAAACGAACAATGACAAAACTACGACATCTGTATTCATTACACATGCCTTGGTAGATTTAATGTATACTTGGGTCATGTGGTGTACAGGGAAATAGCAAATTGCAAAGCGAAAACTACTGCCATTCTTAGAGAAACGGCATACCATGAATGCAATCGCAAGCGTCAGCGATACTTGACAATAAGACTGTGTTTGTTAACACCGCACTGGAATACCAGTCTCAGTTCAATAATTGATTTCGGGTCGATTGCCTTGATGAAAGACTTAGATTACCAACCTCAACAAGACGGATGCTACATTGCAGAAGCCTTTAAGATTCTTTAACGAACGTGTATAGCGATTGAACTGGGTAATTTGGCAAGATACATCAAAGCAGCAACTGATAAAAGAGATTATTGGTTCCCGTTTCATTAAGTGTGTGAAGTGTAGCGGACACAACTCATCAAAGTGAACAGTGTAAAAGAAAACAATATTAGTCATACTGCTATCATTCCTGATCTTGAAGTGCAATGAAACAGTCAGAGAATGTTAAGCAGCTACGAGTATAGTTAGATAATCAGAAGATTTGGGCAATACCTAAGAAGTGAGATGCCCGGTTGCTATTGAAGAAGCGTGAGATATGGAAATCTGTAAAAAGGTTTACTGAAAAACGAGAGGCATTGAAAAGGATCAGCACGGCTTTCACCAAGAGTGAATGAGAGATATTGCACTGCGTGTATGTGGCTTAACAAACGGTACCAGATCGCTAGTCGTGTAAGTTCAACAGTACAAAGAGCGAGTTTGGAAAGTGCATATTGAATTAATAATGGACATCTGAATTCCATATGCGAGCAACAGACAGTCTACTGCAAGATTCAAGTAATCATCTTTGGAAATTTATCATGAGAGATCATCTTTGGAAATTTATCATGAGAGTGAGGTCTAAATTTCTCGAACCTCGTTGCACGAACTAACTCCTTTGAAGAAGGAACGAGCCGTAACCCTAAACCAATTTTCATCGCGTCTTGGATGACGCGTTTTTATCCGATGTTATGAATGAAACAAACAGCTGATGTTATGAAATATTGAAATTAAAACTTCATCCCGTAGCGCTCGATTTGTGTTGAGCGGAATAATCAATAAAATATTTTCTAAAGAGGTTAAGAGGATAAGTTGTTACTGCTGGCATTGAAGAATCGAATTCAGAAGTTCAATTCGAGCGTGAAAAACGACACTGGCGAGGATGTTAAAACAAATATGCAGTGTTACATAGGTGATATATCTGGCTATAGATCTCTTGCTTGAAAAACCTGGCTACCAAAAAGACGTTCAAAAGAAATTATTGACGAAAAAAGCCTTGCTTGAAACCGCAAGAAATGGCACCTGCTTTAAAACAGGGTTCGAAAGTCGTGCTTGGTTGACCTGTTATGCAGAGCATCGACCCTAAAACAAGGCGTCTGAATTAATTACGCAGCAAAATCAACCGTGATATGGATGACACCGATATAGTATTCCTTTCTTTCTTTGGATTCATCTTTATACTTGGCACCACTGGTAACATCTGCATACTGGCTGCTTTGTCTAAGATGAGACAACATAGAAGATTAACCCATTTATTAATGATCAATCAAGCCGTTTCAGACTTGTGCCTTGTTGCAATTTCTTTGCCATTACGCATTGCTCGGATGTGTGTTAAAAAATCGCTCTTCAAATCTTCAGTGATATCGTCAGATTTGTACTGCAGAATAACGGCAGGGACAAATGTCGTATTTCTTGGGGCGTCATGCTTCGGTGTGCTACTGATGACTTTGGATAAGTTTTTAGCTGTTCGTTTTCCTTTGTCTTACCGCACGGGGATAGATAAGCGACACTTCATTGCTCCAGTCCTCTTAACCTGGTTTATTCCAGCAGTCATCGGCTGCTGTGGCGTATTTGTTACCGCTATTCAAGAGAACATGAACGAGCATGGGCATGATATTGCTTGTTTATATGGCTCCATTTTCAAGGAAACATATGCTTTATTTGTTTATGTATTAACTCTAATCATACCTCTTATAATGATCTTTCCCATGTATATATACATATTGAAAAAGGTGAAAAGTTCATGGAAGTTCGTCATACCAAACAATTCTGAAAACTGTTTTAAAGATCAGCTACCTGGGATAGCGAGCAGCAGAAGAGTAAAGGACGTGAATACTTTTCGAAAGAAAGAAATCAGACTAGCAAAAGGAATTTTCTTAATTCTTGGGATCCATTTAATGTGCTTAGCACCGGTTGTCGTTCTCGACTTTTTCCACATAATCCTACACCGGTCTATCATGCACATTGCAGTAGAAATTTGCCTGGGAATCCTTTACCTGAATGCAGTGCTCGACCCACCTATATATGCAAGACATTCTACGGAGATTAAGCAGACAATGTTGAGATTTTTACTGTACTGCAGAAGACAAAGGCATGGAGCAAACCTCTTTACCAAAAGAAGACCACAGAGAAGAAAAGGTGTGACGCAGCCAACTTGGCCTATAACTGACCAGCTGAATCAGACCTATGTGAATAGCATTCATGAATCTGGAAATGCAACTGACAACAACAAGCAAACGACAAAAGAGTCTTTTCAGGTTTCAGCTCAATCCAACTGATCATCAAGAAACAGAAACACTGCGTCGGAAAGTGAAAATGAAATTTCTTAGCTAACGCTTATGAAAAGCCACTGGTAAAGCAGCATCTAACAAACGCAGATTGTTTGTCAGAACAACCCAACGTCATCGACCTCATTTGGGTGCTATGCTCTACACCCGAGACCTCAGGGATACGTAATGTCTCGAAGCATGGTACAAAATGGTCCTGTCTTACAGTAACATTATTAGCAATGGGTGTATGCAACGTCTGAAAAATGGTGGCTAGGTGAAAATTTTTGTCCTTTTGAAAATATTTGAATTTAAAATCGTTCTGTTTGGTATTAAAGTACATAGATAAATAAAAGGTTTTTATCAAGTAAACTGTGAAACAGTAATTTTTTTAACCACTGCATAATCATAAAAGTTTTAGCATTTTGAAACAAATTGCACTGTTAATTCCTAATATAGTATTCAATCAGACATTTTGTTTTCAAGTCTTCACTTTACATACAGATGTTTCACGTTTCCTGCGGTAACAACCGGTATGGTCAGGGCATAAGGTACACAGAGATGTAATCTCTTAAACCAATAAGCACTAGGAGGTAGGAGATTTCGACTGGAGCAGTCTTCGATACATGTCTGTTATCTTAGTCTACACAAAGCTGTTAATAACACAATGTAATATAAGCTGATAATAATGTTCATGTTCATTTAAATTCCATACAATAAATACTGGTCATGTATCCTTGCATTCGCGGTGCTTACCTACTGCTGTTTAACAGACCCTAGTACAAAGGCTCCGCTGCAAGTTGGAAAGTGGGGGAGGGGGCAAGGGCAAATTAAAGTGACATATCACGAGATTTTGCAAGAAGGCCTTTTCATAGGCAGAAAAATTCAGGGGCATGCCCCATCGTTTTCGTGGGCCTTGCTTGTAGTGCAAAATCTTTGAAAATTTACATTGATGTCAAACCTTTTGAGCCACACACGGCCATTGTCAAAGGGCTGTTAGAGCGATGGAGCTCGTTAAGGCATGCTTTACCACAATGCTCACGGATGACGGACAGCTCTTTCAGAATGACAGCCTATATAGGAGAGCATAAACATTTATAACATAGAGCATATCAACAGTATTGAGAAATGAAGGCAGTGTTTGAGGCTTAATTGTATTATCTATTAATAGAAAATAAAATTTACGAAGAAATGTTAACAAAATACTGGGGTACTACTGATCAAAACAGCAGGCATAACTTGTCAATACCGATTGCATGCATGCACCATTTTAAAACTGCTTATTAGATGCTGACATGAACTCAGCTATTCTATGATTTGATTGGCTTAGACCAAGCCATTCGCATCTTAATTGGTTTACACAAAGCTAAATGCTACTTGTACTGGTACACTGCCTTTAAAATAAAGTTCTGATGTAGAATATGAGGCGGGAAACTATCAAAAGCTTAGGAGGGTTCAAGGTGGCTAGAACAGATATTTTGACAAAGCTATTATCTCATACTGTCACTTATGAATGTACGAAACCACTGATAACCTAATCAACTTACAGAACTTAAACACATTTATGCATTATTAAGATAGGAATTTAGCGATTCCTCGCTTTGTTACTCGTTATCTTATTGTTAGGATAAAACCGCGTTTACTATTGCTTTCATAAAAAAAAGATATTGCGGATTAGACTGAGATTATTTTTCAAGTAATAAAAAGTATTCAAGCTGATAGCCTGATGACAGGCATAATGAAGTTAACAGTAACAATAACAAAAGTGGAAGAGTCAATATCGACCAATAGCAGGTACACTGAAACAGGTGACTTTGGGCCTTTGGGCTAGGAACAAAAACAAAACGTCTCCAAATATACCTTTGTTTAGTAAACTTTCCAACAGAACTCATCATTGAGTCTTAACAATCCCATTGAACTCAAATTCATATAGCGGCAAATAAGACTGTTCTAATCAACGACTTGATCTTGCTCGTTAGTAAATTTTAAATCAGTCAAACGCCATCATCATTTCAGCTGTTCCCAGCTTTCTTACTTTCAGAAACTTAGGCATATAAATATATTTCATGGGACAATAAGTCAAAATGAGTTCTAAAGTATGTTATAATACCATAAATTATGCAGTTTTTCAATGATTTCTATCACTGATATAATTAACTCAATGAGAGTTACCTCAAGCGTCTCCTCCGCAGTGCAACCCGGTTGAGTCTGCAATCTTCCATTTTCAAAGTCCACAATGAATTTGTCGCATTTAGCGTACCTAGATTAGTTTAAACACACTTTCAGGGTCTCATTAAAGATGATTTTAAGGATAAATTCACTTTCCTGAAACAAATGGCTACAACGGTAAATTTTCTACCTTTTCGAAACCTTTCTGATACAAATTTCACATGCTGTCATTTGATTGCTATTCTTATGATTCATCGTCACAACTCCCACTGCAAAAGTACAGTCAGAAAATATTGTATTCAAAAGAATAAACCTGCCCAGGGAATCTATATATAGGGTATTAGTCTACATATATATAATAAGGCTGTAGAGATAACCCTATCTCGAAGGTTAAAGGTAATGTGTCCAGCTATAGCAAGCGACTCTGCGGGGGTTTTTAGAAACATGTGATTTTTCATGTCATCGCCCCAGCCACTACGGTCGTTTTGTTTATCTATACTGCTGCGAGGTTAGCTTTTCATGTGAGCAGTTTTGCATCGCAAGAATACTAACCAATCGCAAACCGTTATTTTGATGGGTGGCTTGACAAGTTGGGTATACGCAGTCCTTCTATATGGACACATTACCTTTAACGTAGTTTGAAAGAAAGCTATTAAAATATTCTAGGCTTGTCATCAGTATATGACATTTGCTGTGGCGTATATCTGAACTGAAATCCAACAATTACAAACAAACAAAAATAGATGGCATTCAATAAAAAAATGATTTTTTCGTTTGAGATTTATTCGAAATATTTCTGCGAAAACTTTGTTTAAACGTCTTTGCTAAACTTGGCTAAACAACCAATGTTTTTTGTCCTGAAACATCAGTAAAAATGTAATAGGGATTGAGTTTGACATTAAACTTCTTTCATTCTTTGGTTGCTGCTTTTTTATTTATTCGTTTTTGAATGAACACAAAAATACCGAACCAAAGAAAAGAGTAATTGGAAATTTTTCTGTTTGTTTGCAAATATTACTATGGAAACAGTTTCAGACAGTAATTTATTGAGCAAAGACTAAAACTGGGAGGATAAATGCAATTTCGTACGCTTTAATACCTTGGCTGGACTCGCACAGCGTAATAACATCTTTTCTTTATTTTACACATCAATAATAATAAATTGGTATTATATAGTATGCAAATCACATAATCAACCATAACAGAAGCAAAATAAGACCTTTTAATCCAGAAATTTCGTTAAAAATTTATACATAATACGTATGTCTCCAGGTTCTTTTTGCAAGCTTCTTTTGAGTTATCAATGTTGCTCGAGAAACATATTCAACAACGAAACAAGCATGGACATAAAAGAAGTATATCTGAATTTGGTTTTCAAGGCAGTCAAAACATTCTGAACATAGAGTTTCAAACTTTTTACATTAAAAGTGTATGATAAAAATCCCATCGTTTCCCTTAAAATGACGATTAAAATTAAAACTATGACGAGATAACTGGAAAGGAAAATCCTTAGATCGAAGTTTTTTTAGAAAATTTCAATTGCAAAATTGCTGATGAAGTTGAAATGTTCAATATGGCCGGGCTTGGCCTGGCGTCTGGCGCTGGAAAGTCTTGGTTGTAAACAGCTTAACAACAAGGAATGAATGAATTCTATATTGAACGCTATGCAAGTGAAGTTATTCCTGTCATATAAATAAGATATAATTACCCTTCAAGTAGAAGCTTGTTCTTTGCCCTTACTAGCCCCTTTCCTGGAGTAACATCTCCAATTCCAATTGAAAATCCTCTGTTCACTGCAAGCAAAAAAACAATAGTTGAATTCGAGAAAAAATGATAAAACTTAACTGCAGTTTAACATTTTGAATTTGGAGAGCAACAAATTTGAGAATTTCTAAGGTAAACATTTCGCATCACAATTAAATAAAACTTGCTATAAAATGATTTCAACTTTTAAAACTTGTTATAAAATTTGCTATTGTGAATAACAGCTCCTCAAATCAAAAAGTTTTTAAGCTTATTTTAGCTGTATCATAGACATCTTTTGTACTAACTAGCTTTAAACGTAGATATAAATCAAGTCTTACTTAGAAAGCTTGGGGCAAGCCTTGCCAGTCTCCACATAGCATCTGCAGCGGCCTAAAATATTTTTAGAATGGAAGAAAAAATAAAAAGGAGCACGAGAAGAAGAACTATTGGAGGCCTAAAATGCAACGGCTCAACGACATTAACCCTGATACTATTTTTGCAACGTTTGAGACTTTTCATGAAGACAAAGAAAAAGGTTTTCTAATATTCTTTGATGTCACTTCTTCTGAGAAGCAGTTATGGTGGAGCATAAGAGAAAAAATTGAAATTCAGAATTGAAACTCGCATGATTCAAAATAATATTTACTTGTAGGAACTAAAATAACATTCTGATGCTAAGATCAGTGGGTCTGTGGAAGGAGAGGGGAGCTCGGGGGCTCAGCCTCCCTTGTTAAAATTAAGAGAGATTTTGGGGTGCTCACCCCCTTTCCCTTAACAAGCAAGAATATGCTTGGTTTGGCGTGAAATGGGAGTTGATCCTTTATCAAGCTATTAACATTTTGTCAATGAGCAATTTCCTATCAGTCTTTCTAATTCTGTTAATAGCTTAGATAATTTTGAATACCCAACAGAGAATCTTAAACACAAAGGCAAGTGTACCGTAAATCCTTGAATTGGCCCCCCTCGAAAAAGCTCCCCCCCCTCGAGTAAGCCCTCACCATAGAACTACAAATTTTCAATAAGTCTCCCCTTCGAATAACCCCCACTGCTACTGTAAATCCTCGAACTGGCCCTCTCGATATGTTAGGAGCTGCGGTTACAAGGCCTTTGCAACAGGAAAGAAATATTAGTAGAACAGTTTGCCGGTCATGAATAGTTTGGAGGTGTACGTTGCTTGAGGTCGTGCGGATGCTAACGTAAATAGGCGGGCTAAGACATGCATTTTATACAATTATACAACTCTTTCCAATTTGAAATAATTCCCTGACAAGCTGAATACATACACCGATAATAACATGAAATGTACCTGTGCACCGTAATCCCTAAGAAGTACGTAAAAAACGCTGTTTTTCGAACCGGATCCAATTACACTTTTGTCCAAGGCACCGGCAAGAAGTTCGCTATTGTGAATTACGACAACTAGAAAATAAAGAATCACGCAATTCAAAATGATGCACGGCAACTATATTTATGGCTTACTTTTTATTGTCATGCAAGCAATACTAAATAAATAAAGATTTCTACCATTTGTAAATCTTAAGAAGCGCTTCAATTTTGATGTTTATCAGATAGCAACCAAGAGGTTATTGCAAATACTGGAACTGATTGCAAATATAATTCAATTCTTATATAGTCAGCCTATGTTTATAAAGCCCTTGCTTCTTGCGTAACAATGAATTATAAATTGATAAAAAGTTTCTCGAAAAATTTTCTTCAAATTCAGCTGCAACTGTTAATAAATAAATTCGCATTTGCTCCTCTTAATATTATCAAATCCTAACCAGCTAGCAACAACCTTGATTGCCATATTTTCATCTTATATAAATTGAGCGATTTTAGGAAATTGTACCAATTCTTTTTCATGATTGAGAATTCTGTCTATAAAATCTTTTGACTATGAAAGAACTGGCAGTGCTGAAAGATCAAGTAACAATACCTTCGTGTGTATGGAAGTCTAAACATCCTTCTACTACACACTCTGTGCTCAAAATTTTGAACTGCAGTGAAGAAAATTAGGGTTATTATTCTCGACTAAACTTAACAAGAAAACTCACACGAGTCATTAACGCAGAGCTCTTCGTTACCACTGTAGGACTTTCCTTTGGTTCTAAGATTCATCTTCACTGGAGAATCCTCACTTGGCCTTAATGTTAAGCTGTACAGTTGTTTGCCAGTCCATAAACGTGCAGGCTAAGATAAATAAAAACAAATATTTTCTTTAAGTTTGACAGTAACCAAGAAATGCACTTAAGGGGTTCAGACATCAAAAAAGAAAAGGCTGCCTTTTCAAAATACACAATCAGATACCGTAAATCCTCGAATTAGCCCCCTGGGGGCTTATTTATTTTTGATATTTTTGGACAGGGGCTTATTCGAGAGGAGGGCTTATACGAGGGGGGGGGGCTTTTAAAATTAATGTAGACAATAAGTAGACATTATTAAAAGATCTGTTTATTTTAGTAGGAATTTCTTTAAGAGAATTTAATTAATTACTACCAAATATACGAATTTGTAGTGGTAATTCAATAAAACGCCATAGGCAACCTCAGATGGCAAAAACCGTCAAATTGAGGGGTCCAATTCGAGAATATACGGTAGCAGTGGGGGTTTATTCGAGAGGGGGGGGGCTTATTGACAGTTTGTAGTTTTAGAGTGGGGCTTATTCGAGGGGAGGGCATTTTCGAGGGGGGGTGCAATTCGAGGATTTACGGTAGGTCTGTTTTGGAAATCCTGATTTTATCAGTACTAGCCAGGTTTCGAAAGACAATTAACCAGATTTGGAAAGCTAAAAAACAAATTAAATGCAAATACAAACGGAAACTAAAGAAGCTAAAAGAGAGGAACGTTTTGCAAATATCTTGAAGCAGGAGAGCGTTTCGCAAGCCAGAGTTAGCTAGAATTCCAACTTTAAACATTGGTAGAGATGATACCCACTATTTTGATTTCTATTTTCCCCTGCTTTTGATGTAAGGATTGATATAGAAAATCTTTGCCTTTTATCTGGAGCATTCACTATTTCAGACAAACTTCAACTTCTTTGACAAATGACCTACCAGCACCAGTAAAGCTTACCAAGTCACTGCAACTCGATATTGACTTACCAAAGATTATATTTTTCTTTTCATATATGTGAAACGACTGAATGTGTAGCTGATTAAGTAACTTACTACTAAAAATTAGGAGACTGAACCCCAGCAACGACAGTACAAACCTTGACGATAGCAGGGGGTGGTAATGTGACTCTGATTGTATTGTCCTTCCCAGCCAATATGACAGATGCTAGCTGACAAAACTGCGCCCTGTCAAAAAATAGGTCTTTCTGCGTGACCAAATATCCACCTAAAAGAAAGTAATGATCTGTAAGTATTAACGTGAATGGTGATCTTTCAGTTTTGCAATACATAGTTCATGATGAGCAGTTTATCTGATTTTTGGTAATTAAGATCGAATTGGCATAGAATGACAAAAATATGACGTCACAAAAATTTTATTTTCCAATTTTTTGGATTCTGAACTTATAACCTGAAGAACATCATAAAATACCTCTACCTATGCTATGTCACTTAGATCTGTTACAGATCGCCTGAGATATGGCCACAGTAGTTCCATCGGCCACATCTCAGGAAATCTGTAAAAGCATTGACTGATTTAAAGATATTTTGCCGTGTTATTCTGCTCATGTGGTCAAAATTAAAAGGCTTGAAATTGATTGTTATGACTTCATCACTTTAAACTCACTATCATGTATGGTGTCAAAACCAAAACCGAGGTCGAGACCAAGGATGTTAAGTTAGAAAGATGTCACGACATGGGAATAAAGCTTGCTAAAGCTATAGTAAGAGCGAGGACCTGATTCGTGTTTCTTGAGCATTTTAGCAGTCTAAAATCATTCGGGTGTTGGAATGTGATAGTTCTCATCTAACACATCTTTGTTCCCATTAGATTTCAATAGAGATTAAAATGTTGGATGTAAACAAGGCAAAGCAAGTGTGATGTTAATACAACTTCATTACCCGTTATAAAGTCTTGAGTAGCTGCAATTAAGGGTTCACCATTGCGAGGAGTTATTATATTTTCTTTTACCTATATAGAGAACAAAATTTAGAGAATTTATAAAGAACGTATACAACAAATAATAATATAAAATAATGACATCTACAATACTTAATAGGATGCAAATGCATTTATATCTATCGAAAAATGTGATGTTTCTTTCTCAGTATTGACTAAGAAAAAAACCGTGAAAAAGTAGGAAAAAATCAATGCAATGAAATCTGACCAATACAGTTAATACCCTTGGCAAAGCAAATCTTTGGTATAGCAAACAGTGTAGGTAAATTTAGCCTTTGACATTCAAGAAAAGATATGATGGAAAACTACTTGTACTAGGCGCGTCACCACAAGGTAGACTGGGCAGGACATAACCACTCTAGTTTTCCCAAAGTAAACATTTAGTGGTTGAATTTAATTGGGTCGAAACATTTGATATGCTGCCATGTGGACCATAAATACTGTTACGTGAAAAGATATTCTCACCAAAGTCTATCTAGACAGCCCTAAAATTCAATGGCAGTTGGAATTGGAGAATTGCATTGCAAACTAAACAAAATCATTTTATTCTTCCAGAATTATTTAGTAGGACAACACATTTGATACTATGTGGTAACAACGTCTATGAATGGTTCATTTCTACTTTGTGATTTACTTAAAAACTAATACCACTAAACATACTACATATATGAGTTTTGCCGTGGAGATTGTCAAAAATGAAATTGAATTTTGACTTTATTGCAAGCCTAGAGAAAGGCCAAGAACTTCTTACAATATCCTCCTTTATGAACTGATATATACAATACGTTATTGCATCGAATTTTCTTTAGGAGAAAAGACAAACGCCCTTCGTAGAAAGAACGATGTTCATAAAACACATTGTTTAGCAAGTGTTTAGAACAGATCAGTGTCAAGCAAGTGTCAAGTTAATAAGTTTTCGGAATTCTGAAGGGCAAAACTAAAAAATGTCCTGATTTTTGTCGATCCCAATCTTTTCATGTAGGTGACGTCCTCGTCACTGCGATATTTCCATAAAATAAAAGATAAGCACTATAGGAAAAGACGCATTACCCCCATCAGCATAAGGGCTTCCGCTTTTGCCTCTTGTGTTTGAGGTAAATGCAGATTCATTTCATCGCCATCAAAGTCGGCATTATAAGGGGTGCATACACATTCGTTGAAGCGGAATGTTCGATGGGGCATCACTTTTGCCTGTGAAAGACAAGCATCTAGCATTGTAAAACAGTATTGCTAAACACGATAAACGCATGAAGTAAAAAGGGAAAAGCTAAAACTGTTAATTATATTTTTGGGGTTGTAGAAGACATTCTATCTGTACCAACAGAGTGGGTTGATGTTGACAGTGTTTTAACTTTAATGAAACATAATAATGAAAAAACTCTTTCTTTCTAGGACCTTGTCAAAAGATTGAAAATCGTCGGGGCGACAAACATGCACTAACGGTAGGTATGAAAGATTCATTAGAAACGATGTTCGATTCAGCGTGAAACGGGATGAAACTTTAAACTGAGATGTAGGTTATGACCCAGATGTGGCTCCCAAATCCATCCAAAGCCTAATGAAGCTGACAGACTCGCTTTAGTCCAGATGTGAATGCCGAAGAATAAACAGACAGCATTTCTATCTGACTAGCTTCAGCACTTCATTATGTTTTATTTATATGTTTGTTCGGTCAAAACGAAATATCATTGTTGCTTATAATTAACAATGGAATGTCTATCAGGCATTTTTATTCAAAATTATGAGGGTTTTTTAATCTTTATAAAAAGCTTAACTTAGAATAATGACACAAACTACGTTCGCAAATACATCGGCATGCAGCTCAGCTTTGCAATCTAAAACAGCATAGTTTTTAACACAAAAAAGCTGCCAGAGCAAATATGGATAAGGCAATCAAAGTTAAAAATTTCTTTTTCAAAATTGTTTGTGAAAAAGCTTTTAGCTTACAAAATGAGCCATAATACTGAGTTTATGCAAAGATGGTTGTCTGTTGAACAAAACCACATCACCATCCATCAAATGTCGCTCAACTATGTCACCAAACTGAAAATAAACAACATTAGGTCAAACTTTGATACAAAGGAAGCTTTAAGGTCAGACATCATTGAGATTAAAGGGGGAGAATCGATGTTTACAAACAGATAAATGACATTGAAAATCTCTGGAAATGACGATAATAGCTCAACCATGTTCAAAGTCTGAAAGCAGCTCTTACCTTGAGTTCTTGAGCAATTGCTCTTCGATTGCCATATTTAAGATACCTATAATGATAAAAATGTAGCAAGTAAAACATAAGTCCTAGACCACAGCAGAGCTAATTACTTGTTGCAGCAGCAAAATATTCTTGATGTTATTAGCCATCAATAAAACGAATTACATAGCTCTCGATAGCTTAAAGCGACAGAACTTTGTATCATATTTCTACTAGTTTAGCAGAAATTTCTTAAGTTGTGTTAAGCTTTGAATATTCCCTGATACAAAGACTCACTGATAGTGATGTTTTAGAGAGCTGAAGTATATAAAATAACTTGAAAATAATAATATAAAGGTAACATAAACTGCTTGATAACTAAGCTGATGATTGACTGTGCATCTATCCACGTAGCAACCAAGGTTCTACTTCTAACATTTTTAAAAATAAGAAACATCGGATGCTGACCAAAATTTCAATTAGTCACTCCCAGTGATAGTCGAAGATAAGCCAAATAGGATAGGAAACCGCCTAGTATCTTTCAGTTTTTTGCCAGTGCTAACTGCGTTATGGGGAAAAACCTTGCTTGATTTTAGTTGCAAAAAACCATTAGTCAGAGAGAAGAGCTAGCCATGACCTAAGATGTATCACTTTTCCAGACTAAATTTCATACAAATCAATTATTCATTATCCTTGAAAATTATTTCCAAGGATGAACTATTGGTCAGGGTTGAATTAAGTTGGTTAGAATCACTAGCCGTGAAAGTAGTAGTTCAGAATATTTCAAGTGTACCAAAATTGTCAAGCATTGCTCTCGGTGTCAGAGCATAGGTTGAGAATCAAGAGTTAAAACTTTCATTTTATCTGATATTGATAGTAAAGTTACGACTGATCCTAAAATCCTAAAAATTGGCGTGTAAGAAGCTGATATTGCAGTAATGTCAAGCGCAAAAAGGGATTCTGAAGTCAAATGAATCTTTTCAGGTGCTTTGAAAGAATCGCTTTATTTACTTGCGAAAACTTAAAAACCAATCGATTGCGATCTGCTGACTTGACCAAAACACGATTTAGCATTATCACAGGCGGTCAGAAATATCTTTAAGGCTCAAAGAGATTAACTGGGAGAAACTCGATTGCCATCAGCCTGTCTTCTCTTGAAATATATAATCGATTGTCGTTTATCTCAATCAAAGTTTATAGATTTCCATCATCCATCGCAATACGCCCTTTGATTTGGTTCTTCTAACTTACCGTGCAACGCTTTGAATTCATTGCATTGAAGACATTCAAGAAGAAAATATCAGAACACAGATAGCACGTTCACTTAAATGATAAGGTGATAACAAAGTTTCATTCTTCAAGTTTTACAAAACAGAGTCCTGTGCTAAAGATATATGAAAATTCTTCAAATAAACTTACAGATTTTGCTAAATAACCTCGGGACCGCACATGCTGTCCGTCCCCGCCTAAAATGTCCTTCCCTTCCTAAATTGTCTGTCCCCACCTAAATTGTTCGTCCCCACCTAAATTTTCGTCCCCACTTAAATTACGCATCAGCATGTTGGAGTCCGCATACAAAGAAGAGCATTGACAAAATTGAAGCTTTCCAGAGACGAGCTGCAAGGCTCACAATAAATTATCATGCTTATGGCACAGACGCTCAGTTGACACAGAAAATGAAATCCATGAACTGGCTACCACTACAACATCAACATTGCATCAATCAACTTCAAGTCTTCAATAAAATTCGAAACAACATGCTCAACGTCTCGTTTCCAGAAATCGTTTTTTCCTCGACCAGAAATCTACTCAAATAGCAAACAATTCAATGTCCCACTCCGAAGGCTTTCAAAAATCAATTCTTCGTAAAAACAGTTCGGATTTGGAAAAGCCTGCCTTCAAAAATTGTGAATTGCGTGAGAGAAGACAAATTCAAAGCATGAGTAACAGAATGGTTACGCCCACGTCAGTTGGTGAACGTGGCCTCCACTAACACCTGGACCCTAGTATAGACTCATTAGAGACAATTTCACTCTTTTGTAAGTCTTCTGTTATCCCTTGTTTATGTTAAACACCGCTTCCACTCTGGCAATAGCCAAACCTGCTTACCTATATTTTTTGCTTGGACTTCATGAACCAACAAACAAATGCAACTTTTGTGGAAATCAACTATTTGGAGTGCTGGGAGAAAACCGTATTAATCTTACTTCTTGGTTAATTTTATTTTTATTTTTAAATGCTCCAGATTGGCTGTAAAGCCTTTAGGAGTAAACGATTGAAGATTGTTTTAAGTTAGTTGGCTTTCTGGCCTCCCATCGGATAAGAAGTGGAATCCGTCTCATGGTTAAGAGGTGGAATCCGTGTCCATCTGGTTAACAATCCCGAGAAGCATCACCACTCTCATTTTGCTCAATGGTCATAGCAAAGTCGCTAGAGGGTGGGGTGCCCCCGGTTCAGGTCCAGGTGTTGGTAATTGCAGTGTACCAAGTAAAATATAACTTTTTAAAATTTTAGAAACTAGGAAATTATATAGATTTCAGTGCTTTTAGCGTTTATCACAAAACAAGTACGTTATCTTGTACAATAGTGAAGAAAAGTCAACCATGCAGGAGCTTCAAAGAAAAAAACTTTAAACAAACCTTTTAATATTTTCTTTTTTTTGATCAACAAAATTTGCACCTGGATGGGTATCTGCACCGTTGATGACCAGCTTTCTCATTAATGCTATATTTGCCTTTGTGACCTTTAAAACAGCAGATAGCCGTCAAACAACAACTCTTAAAATATCAGATTGCATGCTTGTTATTAAAAGTATCAAACATTTCGTATATCTTTAACAGTCAGGAAGGACAGTTTACAGATAAAAATTAAGGATGCATCAAAAATTTGAACTTTAGTACAACCTGTTGTGCAAATTTAATGGGAAAGAATACTTTAGCAAGAAAAAGATATAGAACAGGTCTTATGGACACAGTCTAGCTTCCTTGTTGATCAGTAACATGCAGATATAGTTAACATACGTTGAAATAAAATGGCTTTTCCCATTGATTAGTTATCCAAGTTTCGCATTCCAGTGGGGGTCCATTCATGAATGGCAGGGTGTCTTCAGGGAGCAAGAAAAGGTTTGTAACGACATACTTGAACTGCGTGATTAGAATATAGGGTAACAAAAGAAATGCAGAAAACAGCGGAAACAGTTTGCACCATACTTGAACCACACTATCTTCTGACATACCCATTTGTACCAAACGTCAGGTAATCAAAATACTTTTTGGGTTAGGGTTAGGGTTAGGGTTAAGGTTAGGGTTATGGTTAGGGTTATGGTCAGACATTTAGAATCCACTTGAAGAAGCCTGGTAGAGCTTTTAGGCTATCAGACATTTCTGGGAAAAACTAGTGTAAAAATAGATGAAATAAAAACTTCATAGATTGCTAACCTTCTCAGGAAACGTAAGCACCTTGGCAACATGAACAGGCACCGCAACCTTAAAGAAATATTGACATTTTCTAGTATCAGAAAGACTGAAATCATCTAATCTCAGAGATATCGACATTTTCTAGTATAAGAAATATTGAAATAAGCTAATATCCAAAATATTGACATTATCTAGTACCAGGAATATTGAAATTATCTGATATCAGAAATATCGGCATTTTCTAGTATCAGAGATTCAGAGGTTATCTAATATAAGACATATTGACATTATATAATATCAAAAATATTGACATTATATAAAATCAGAAATATTGACATTGTCTAGTACCAGGAATATTAAGATTATCTGATATCAGAAATATTGGCATTTTCAAGTATCAGAGATTCAGACGTTATCTAATACCATAAATATTGACATTATCTAATATCATGTCAGTAAAAAGGAGAACAACTCTTCAACTGACTATGCTAACACCAACATCAGTCAAAACTGGAATGATACTCCGCTACTACACTTTATCTTCTCGTGAAACAGACACTACCTTATTACAGAGAAAGCTCAATTTCCCAAAGTAGCACTGAAATAATTGTTTTAAATTCATAGGTAATATTACCAACTGATTTTTCTTATCTATCTTTAATAATTCACAAAACTTGATTTTAATTTGCTCATATTAGCACACTTTTACAACTTATTATATAAAACATGACATTTGCAATGCTGCTTCAAAAGACATTCATTAAATCTAAAAAACGTGACATTTATTTACAAAATAAGATATTCATTTTCAAAGTTGCCCAAGGGAGCAAACAAAAAGTCTCTATAAAAATTCAAAAAACTAAAATTCGTAAAAAAACCGTCTCGAAAAAAGCATAGTAGCTAAAGGGAAATAATAACAAGAGAGTTTCTCTATGAACCTAGATTTATTAGTATCAACAAAAAACAAACAAACACGAGAGCTCTTCGTGATACTAAGTTTTGCAAAGTAAACTTGAAAACTGTAAATGGCTGCCTTTTCAAAAATGACAATTTAGGCCATTTTCCAAGGTTATAGCCTTACAATTTTTCAAAATTTATAACATAGTTTTTGAGAATGTCCTAAATTGACTCGAAAGATGCTGAAGAATGATTTCAAATCATTTGTTTGTACTTTCCCTGAGAAATAATGTCAAAAATTGTGATTTCGATTCTTTTTATTTCATATCATCAATTCAAAATGAAAATAGAAAAACAATCAATAAAACTAACTTGGTCAATTCTAAGGTTTGGGTCAGGAGAAATGACTGTCCTTCCTGAAAAATCGACCCTTTTTCCAGATAAATTCCCTCTAAACCTTCCTTGTTTTCCTTTGAGTCTCTGGCAAAATCCACGAATTGGTTTCTTCGGCTAAAACATCGATGACAATAACAATTTAATCCTATCATTAAGAAAGGATCAATAATCAATATAAAATGAGAACTTGACAGTATCTTAAAGAAGTCTAAACGTATTTCAAAATCTGAGGCTAAAGACGAAAAACGGATTTGTTTGTCAATACATTCAACACAAGTTGCAGGCATACGAAAACGTATTACCTGCATGTTTAATGGAATGCCAGACAACTCGCTGTTGATGTACAAAGCACACTGCAGTTGAAGGAAATCCCAGTCTTCCTGCAAAACAAGATAATATTCAGTTAGTAAGAAACGAGATAAAGAGGGTCTTAAAAGCCCCCGATAACGTAAAATTGCTTTTGTCTTTCCAATTATAGTTTGTTAGTTTACAGCATCAAACTGCATCGGCAAAATAAATTATCATGAAAGGCCTACAAACCATTATCATGTTAACTTTGGCTCCAGTTGATTTGTGCTTTTGAATAACATCGTTTAAAAATATGATCTCTGTTAACTTCATAGTGATATCATCCTCGTTACTAGAATATGAAAAATAATCAAAGACATCATCATAAACACATACAGCTTTATACATCTATCAAAAATATGATTAACGATAAATTTGACAGCAAAGATCTCAACAGAATATAATCTAGAGCAGTATAGGAGAATGGTGACACTAACCTTGTGGTCGATTAAGTTGTTTACACGCACAAATGTGTTATTGTGGGTTGAACATAATATGAAGCAAATATTGTCTTACTTGAATATAAAAATTAATGGAAAGGGGTGTAGAGCCAGGGAACTCCATGGGGTCTGAGTTCCTTTTGTTAATGCCAAAATCAACGGCTTTTTTGTCACTATTTCTTGAGAACTTTTTCGAGGGACCACCTAATGCTTTCTTTAGCACTGCACTCTTGTTAATAAATGCTTTGAGCAAATGCCACAATAATAATTTAAAAAGAAAAAGAGTTACCTTTCTTCATTTGGCAAAACAAACAAAATCATATAAAATTTTTCATTACAATTTACCTTCCGGCCTGCAAATCAGAAATAACTGATGGCCTAATACAAGATGGCGGGACAAGAATCCTGGTCAGTATCAAATTCTCTGGCCTGCCGACTTCAGGCGACATTCCAAGCAACAGACAGTCCTTTCAAGAAAGAAAGAGAAAAAAGATTATGATGTAAGGTTTCTTTAGAAATTTTTTTCCACTTAGACATTAACAAATGGGTTACAAATTTTTTTATGTCATTATTAACTATCACCAATTCACCTGAATTTTCTCTCTATCTAATTTAACCAAATTTTTACAAAAACCATTATGGTTCCTTAAAATACAAAAATATTGAAATTACAATTACAAGATAATGAAAACATAATGGAATAGAAATGAAATGACAGAAATTCACAAAGACTTTATAATTTAATCAAACAATATTTTAAGGTTGCCCGCTTCTTTAAAGCAACTCAAGCCATTCAGTTTAAAGTGTTGATCTGCCCACAACAAAACAGATACATTGCTTAGATTCTTATAATTGTGATAGAAAAAAATATTCTTTTGAACAAACAGCAGAAAAAATCTAATGCACCAAGAGTAAGCAACACCTCTCGTTAAATTCACTGAAATGGCCTCTATTTGCAAAAATGCTCTTTCAATAGAGATAATTACATTGGTACAAAACTCATTTCTGTGAGTGAAAGATAATTTTCCATGACCATTTTTAATATATACTGAAGATGTTCAATAATTTCAAAGTTGTCAATGTGCAATCACCTCATCTGGAATAGACTGGAACAAAGTTTGCACAGTCAATGGGTTCAAAATGACCTAAAAGAAAAATCAATAGTTTATGATGAGCAAACCTTAAAAGCTAGAAATAAAAGAAATATAAAAAAATTAAGAAATTTCCAATCCAGCAAAAAAAAATATGAAGCTATTTACAATTATTTTATAAAATATAGCTTTTGAAAAAAGTGTTTGCAAAACAAAATACCTGAGCTTTATTGGCTAAAGGTGCTATTTCCTTATTGTGTGAAATGGCTTCCTCAAATGATGCCTGGAAGTCTGTGACTGAAGAATCAACAACCTTTCTTGATGTTTTGTATTTTTCATGTATAATTTTGAGTAGTCCAATCTTCTTTACAGTCCCTGCCAAAATGGATCACAAAAATATTGCTGTTAGTTTAAAAAATTATGTGAAAAAAACAATCATTGAATGATAATGATATTTTATTGCTCATCTGCTCAGTTGTTTTATACCAAAATCCCTCAATTACTATACACTGCAAACATATAAAATGTTTTTTTCATAAATGTCAGAAAAGAATCCAAATATAGAAAAGATAATCTTATTGAGATAATTTAATACGGCAGCAGGTTTGATTATATATGTTTGAAGATGTCATATGACATAACTGTTTATCAAGAATAGTATATTGATTTTGTAAATATACACCTATTATAAATTTGTGACCAATTGCATAGTTCTGACATAAATTTTTTCATCTTTTTCAAAGCTTGTCTTTCAGATGAGCATACTACAGTCTTTGTCATTTAGTGTGTGCAATCACATGCACACGCATTGGCAAATAATGCGAGCGATATGGCACATGCATGAGTCAGACATTTGACTGTTGTTTTTCACCTTTATAGGACTTTATAGTTAGTTCTTCAAAATGTTGAAAGTTATTGCTTCCAAAAGTTGAGCAACATTGCCTTATTCTCACAATAGCTTTTTCGGAGGAGATATGATGTGGTGTGTGTCATATGCAGGCAGAAAACTGCATACATGCAGCAAATTTAACGTACGCAAATTTCAAATCTCATCGTCAATACCTTTTGGCTTGGAGTCACTAAAAGCACCATAAAAGGCAGTTATCAACAATACTGTCACTTCAATACTTTCAAAAAATTTCACTGCTTGAAATGTTCCCTCCACGGTAAATCTTTGTCAATAAAATGTTTCCGTAAGCATTAATTTTCTCATATATTTTTAGGATAGGGGGTGCTCAGGCTACTTTGTGGGTCTAGAATTGGAGCAAAAGTTTTTAATTCCTGAAAATACATGCAATGCATAACCTAAAAAATAACCAACTCTCTTTATTCTAAACCTAAAAGCTCTGTAAAATTCTTATTAAGAAAAATCCAGAAATTTTTGCACAAACCATTAACTTCAGCACAGTTATGACATCTAGGAGTCTTTTTGCACTTTTCTTGAATTTTCTTCCAAATCCCCTTCTTTTGCAATGATGATATACCAGGCTTTTGAAGGGCAGTTGCAAAATTTTTCTTTTGCTCATCAAGAAGCAATATTTTGCTACAATTCTGTAAAATGCAAGGAATGTTTTGCATAACTGTGTCATATAATTTTTCTACTTTTCCTGAGATCAAGTACTCTAAGATTCTCTGTCAAAAAGTTGCAACAAAGATGGTAACAGAGGATAAAACATTTATCTAGTATGCTTGGCATCTACTTGGGCAATTATTCTGATAATAAAGAAATGTAGTTTGAGACAGATGTCCTATAAGTAATAATTTTCGGATCTTTCATTTTGCATTTTTACTTAAATTGCCTTATTACTAGTATCTAAGACATACCAATTGACAAAAAAATCAGATACCATAAGTGTTGGAAGAAACATTTGGCTTGTCAATAACTTTACCTTCTTATAGCATACTTATTTGATAATACAATAAGGCTACATTAACAATCTGATAAGCTACATGAATATAAATGCAAGGGTTTTTAAAGATAGGAATTACACACCTTGCATATCATTTGAAGAATGCTGATGGTCAACTTAAAATATCCAGTATGGAATACAGGGAGCTGCAGGTCTATATAGCCATAGTGTCCAACACATTCAGCCAGCCCTTTGCCACATGTATCACATTGGTTGCTTTTTGTACTGGTACCCTAAAATTTGAATTTTGATTAGATGGCATTCTAGAAAAATATGAAAAATTATGAATCACAGCTTTTCATTATTTTTCGGTTTTGAGTTTCATCAATATGATCACCGTCTTGGGAACAAAGAAAGTAACAAGGTATTTATATATTTACAATGAAAACACAGTAATTTAGTGAAATTGCACCTACTCATTAGTAACCTTGCATGGAAGATATACATTTAACAATTTTTACAAATAGCAAAATATATCTCCCATCTGTTTTAAAAATCTATTTATATCATTTCAAGTCAGACATACCAGTTTTTTGTCTAGTACACCAAAAGACAAAGGTGTTCTATTGACATCCTGGTTGTATAAATTTTTTGCAACACAGTGGACATTGGCCTGCTTTTGCATTTGATCTGGTGACATTATTCCAAAATGTATACATCCTCTGAGAAGAAGAAAAAAGTATGTATCTTTACAATCAAAGCTAAGAAAAAAGAAGCATTGCATTACAACTTTGCTCACAAAGTACCATGTATTTTTTCCCAAAGGGTGCTACCCAACTGTATTGTAATGCTCTTTGCCATATTCTTAGCATGCAACAAAAATTTCAGTCTGAAAGCTGTGAGTATATGCAAGTTTTCAAGCCTGGTACCTTTAAGTTGTAATTGTTTAAACTAAGTTCAAATGAGATCCAAAACAAATCTGTACAGTTTTTAACAGCAATTATCTGTGACTTATGCAGATAAGCGGGCAGTTTTACTTGGCCATTTGCAATAGTAATGCATGACACTCTACAGAGAGGTAACTTTCACAATATTGAGGAAATTTACCATCTAATATTCCAAGCAGAATGGGGAATCATGGCTGTTGAAATGAGCAAAGTAATTTTAGTAATTCAATAATGCTTACATTTTCTTGTCGACTGCAGTTTCCTTGAACTGTTCTTTCACCATCTTTGCAAAAAATCTTTACCTACTTTGTTGAATTATCTCGATCAAATTCGAATGTTGACGAATGTTGCAGGAGTATGTCAGCCGCTAATCAAATATATATGTACCTTCATGACTCATTTACGTACCAGAAGCTTAACTCTAGAAGCAGAGGAGAAACAATTTTCACGTCAAAATTCATTGTGGTCTGGAGTAACGGAAAATAGACAAATGGTAAAATAGGAGCATTCGGTAATAGGCAGAAAAAATGAGCTTTGAAAAAATGATGATATAATTTTTTAGAATATGCCGCACACTCAAATTTTCCATCCGTGCACTTTTTGCATATTGGCCGCGCCGCGTTAAGTCCCTTTCACATTTACATATGATTAAATTTTATAGTAATACCGATAAAAATTTATCAAAAGTGTGTGATTTCAGGCGCGCAGACTCAAATTTCCAACGAAAACTTGTCCGTGCAAGAGACAAAGTTTCCAGTCTGGATTGGCATCAGAATATGCAGTTTTTAAGAGATACGGTGGTGAAGAGCCCCAGAAAATACCGGAGCCATAGAATACCGGAATCCCAGAAAATAGCGGAATTTTTTTCTACATTATTTTTTATTATTTTGATCTTGGAATTGGTATAAATTATCAGTTGTACTATTAGTTCAACGTGTTTTCGTTCTTTTCAAGAATAAAAATTGATCAAATCGCTTTGAGAATCAAAACTAGGATCAACGGAAAATATGTCAACATGAAATAAAACTTCATATGCAGTCGAAAATAAGTGGAAAACACTTAATTGACTGGGTATTGTACATAAAAGCAAAAGTTACAGTTCAAATGATACAAATCTGACTAAAATTCGGTAAGGAAACAGGGCCGATCAATCTCCCGTACACTTAAAAAGATTTCCAAGAGACGAGGCACAATTGCGTGTCATATATCTAAGGTCGCTCTTCAAGGAGGGAGGAAGCCGTCCGCTCCTGCGACTCTTGGCGGCGAAAGTGGCCTATGATAATGCTTGCTTGCAGCACCGTGCGCATATCTATTTCCACTTTTGCAAGATTCCCAGTAATTTCGAGCATTAGTGGTTGTGATAAACACATTTGCGTTAATAAAATTGGCCCGAAGGGCCCTGGAATAGGCTTGCTCTTTTCCCTCAAACCTCCCATAAAATACCGGAATTTTAAAAAAACGCTGCATTTTATGTCTCGTTTTTAAATTTTCACTTGGAAATTGCATAACAAGTATTAATCTTGCGATTGGAGTAGACTTTCAGTGAAGAGAGCAAAAATTTTAATATTTCCTTCAGTCCTGATTTGTAGTTTCGTCCGCGGCTCCCGCGACACATGCCACAATTCACAATACAATCTGACAAAGGCGGGACTTCATGTTTCAGATGGGTTGGGTGGGGAAAAACCTTAAAAAACAAACAAATTTGCCGTCATACGACAAAATTTTAACGTATGACGGCAAATTTGTTTGTTTTTTGAGGTTTTTCCCCACCCAACCCATCTGAAACATGAAGTCCCGCCTTTGTCAGATTGTATTGTGAATTGTGGCATGTGTCGCGGGAGCCGCGGACGACACTACAAATCAGGACTGAAGGAAATATTAAAATTTTTGCTCTCTTCACTAAAAGTCTACTCCAATAGCAAGATTAATACTTGTTATGCAATTTCCTAGTGAAAATTTAAAAACGAGACATAAAATGAAGCGTTTTTTTTTAAATTCCGGTATTTTATGGGAGGTTTGAGGGAAAAGAGCAAGCCTATTCCAGGGCCCTTCGGGCCAATTTTACTAACGCAAATGTGTTTATCACAACCACTAATGCTCGAAATTACTGGGAATCTTGCAAAAATGGAAAAAGATATGCGCGCAGTGCTGCAAGCAAGCATTATCATAGGCCACTTTCGCGGCATGTGTCGCGGGAGCCGTGGACGACACTACAATTCAGGACTGAAGGAAATATTAAATTTATTGCTCTCTTCACTGAAAGTCTACTCCAATCGCAAGATTAATACTTGTTGTGCAATTTCCAAGTGAAAATTTAAAAACGAGACATAAAATGCAGCGTTTTTTTAAAATTCCGGTATTTTATGGGAGGTTTGAGGGAAAAGAGCAAGCCTATTCCAGGGCCCTTCGGGCCAATTTTACTAACGCAAATGTGTTTATCACAACCACTAATGCTCGAAATTACTGGGAATCTTGCAAAAGTGGAAATAGATATGCGCACGGTGCTGCAAGCAAGCATTATCATAGGCCACTTTCGCCGCCAAGAGTCGCAGGAGCGGACGGCTTCCTCCCTCCTTGAAGAGCGACCTTAGATATATGACACGCAATTGTGCTTCGTCTCTTGGAAATCTTTTTAAGTGTACGGGAGATTGATCGGCCCTGTTTCCTTACCGAATTTTAGTCAGATTTGTATCATTTGAACTGTAACTTTTGCTTTTATGTACAATACCCAGTCAATTAAGTGTTTTCCACTTATTTTCGACTGCATATGAAGTTTTATTTCATGTTGACATATTTTCCGTTGATCCTAGTTTTGATTCTCAAAGCGATTTGATCAATTTTTATTCTTGAAAAGAACGAAAACACGTTGAACTAATAGTACAACTGATAATTTATACCAATTCCAAGATCAAAATAATAAAAAATAATGTAGAAAAAAATTCCGCTATTTTCTGGGATTCCGGTATTCTATGGCTCCGGTATTTTCTGGGGCTCCGCGCCAGTATGGTTGGTTTTTAACGATCTCTTAGTCTTATGTTATGACAAGCAGCAAAATCTGATCGCAAACCTACCCTAAAATTTCAAGTCGTAATAATCTTGTTCTTCTTACATTGGATTGATTTTAACAATAAATATTCTATATTTAATATAAAACAAATGAAAACAAACCATCCGTTTTAAAATTCTCCATGCTGCATGATGCCTAGGCCTGTGCCTCGAAAAGAGAAAATCTCGTATTGATGGTGGATACTGAATTGCACTGCTGTTGTCTGGAGATACAAACAATTTTGCCGCTCAAAATGTTTCAAAAAGTATTTTTCGTTCCTGTGTTTATCTTAGTTTGCAGTTTTTCATATGTCTGGTGCACGACGATTCCATATTCTGATCCTTCACGCTGCAGTGTAGGGGAATTTTTCCAGTTTCCAAGTCTGCGATGTAAGAGCTGTCCTCTAAATACGAACCGTAGTGCAGATGGCTTGAGTTGTGAATGTAATAATGGATATTACTTTGTCAAAAATGGAGGTGGTGGAGACTTTAACGTCAGGTGTCAAGCTTGTGCAACTACTGAAGTGACATCTCTTGACAAGTGGTCATGTGTTAAGTGTCCCCTTGGGGTAAGTGGTCTGTGCAGCACATGCAATGCAAATTCTAGTACTGCTATATTTGATAGAGAAAGAAATGGCAAAAAATTTCCTGACAATAGAAGAAGATGCATTAGATGTGAATATGACAGCCAGCCATCTGCTGACAAAACACGCTGCCAAAGATGTCACCAAAATGTTCTAGAGATCACAGCTGCAACAGGCTCCTCATGCAATTGTCCTGCAAGTGAGAAAAGCTTTGGGGGTGTCTGCTTTCAGACAACTACTATAGAGACCTTTGATATCTTAGATTCACCTCAGACCTACACAGTTAGCTACGGTGGACAATCAGTTGTTTCTGCATTTTTCAAGGATAATCTAATTGCTGCAGCAATTCTGTGTTGTCAAAACCATAACTTCACAGCCTGCCAGCTTCTGGGCAATCTTTGTGTAATGCTTGATTATTACAGAGACAACTATGAGGTGACCAGTGTAAACACTGATGCTTGTGAGGAGTTCTTGAAAATAAACACTGGAGTAACTAGTGCTGCTAGATGTGATATTGCTTCCACCAGTGTTGTCAATGGTGTCAGCAACTGGAGAGAATTCATGCCATGGTTGTATTATTCGGACAAGGGAAATATTGTGCTTTCAAAAACTGATATCAGTATTAAATATAAGAAAGGAAACATACTCAGGTTTGCTGTGGCAATGTATACGCCAAATGGTTCCTTTGTTGGCATTATGAATGACACTAGCATTTTTACATTGTGTCCAGAAAGGGAATCTAAAAAGGTAGCAGCTTTTTCATTTTTGACAACTTACAAGATTTCTTGCTCTGTTATGGTTTCAAAGCTTGTAGCTGAAAGAATGCTGTTTTATGATTTATATTACTATGTTGGAGATCAATTGTATCCTGTGCCACTTTTGATTGAGAATTTTAAGTACAAAGGCTCAAATGTAAACTCTGGAAGTGATAAAAGCCAATGGTTCATGACACGCAGATTCTTCCTTGTTGATAATCTTGGTGCATCAACTAAGCAAAATGAGCCTGCAACAGCAATCAGATATGCACAAAGTGTTCAACTTGTGATCTCTCTAAGAAACTCTGATGGCCAAATCCATCCACCATATCTGAAAATCAAATATGGAGTCACCAGTCCATCATCAAGCTCAGTGGAACTTTCGTTTTCAACTTCTTATGAGATGTCAACTTCTAAAATTACAGAAAATGTCAAGGTAAGAAGTTGTTATGTTTTGCTTTGTTTCAAAAGAGCAAGTTTTTTTCTGGCTTTTATTGCGGGGGATCAATTGACATAAAATATACTGAAGCATGAATACATGCCAAATGCAAAACCATTCTTGATTCTCCAACAATATGCTTCTTTAAGTTAGGGTTAGGTTTAGCTAGAGCTTGGTTAAAATTGAGTCTAAGGTTAGGGTAGGATCAGTGCAAATTTATCACTGTGATTTGACTCCAAAGGAAATTATTATTTATTAAAATGGTATTCTAATTTTGATGTTGTAAAGAATCTATTTTTGTTAATAAGCTCTCCAATAAATATTAAAGTGCATGGTCATAATCTGAAAGTTATTTGTAATACACAATTATAGGTAATTAAATTAAATATTTCATTTTGTTTAATTATCATGGTGAAATTCATGCCCCAGAAGCCTTGATCAGTATAAGGTGTTAGGTACTCGATCATAACAACTAAATACAATTATACGTAAAGAGAGAGTAATTTTAACAGTTCCTTGACGATTGCATTCAACATGAAACTTGGTGTAGCAGCTTAGAACCTCCTTTACATGCCCTCAACTACTTATGGTCTTAGGGTTTTGAGATTTCAGAACTGAAAAAGTCTTTATCTTTTTCTATAGATTGCTGTTGGTGTCCTGTCAGCTTTAGCTGTTATATTTGCAATGATACGGACTGCTAGCTGGAGAAGGCGAAATGACAAGTTATATTTGGATGGAAGCAGTCTAATTCACTTTGTCATATTCTCATTCAGTGCGCTTTCTTTGGTGTTTTTTGCAGTTGTTGCTTGCACGTGCCTTCAGTGGCTCTTGTTTTTCAAGCAACAAACTATTGTTTACCGTGTGCTCCCGTCTGCAAGCCAAGAAACGTTCCTTCGAGGCCTTCTTATAACAGGATTTGTTTTCAAGCTCATTGATGTACTTTACATTCTATTTTCTCAGATATTCGTCGATGTATTTTTTATTGACTGGGAGCGACCACGCGGTCGTATTGTAAACCCCGGGCAAGCCCAAAGCGATGCTGACTCGCCAGTGAGCATAATACGCACGTTGTTTGTCGCAAACGAGTGGCGGGAAATTCAAACCATGAAAAGAATCAATCCCACCTTGCAAATTCTACTGGTTTTGTTTGGACTTAAGGTAATTGGTTTCGAGCATCTTACGACAGTCGACCCTGTCAGTCGTTTCTCGGTGAACGAAGCTGTAGATTACGTCGGTGAAATCAGTTTCGTTTTTCGCTTTGCTGTTACATCAATCATGTTCGTATGTGTTGCGGTTGGGCAGTGGCTGTTTTTCGGCATGGTTTACGAACATTTCATTGCTGATGCCATAGAAGACTTTGTCGATTTCTGCTCAATCAGCAACATAAGTATTATTCTTTTAACACACAGCAATTATGGTTATTACATTCACGGCAGATCGGTGCACGGGCGAGCTGATGCGAGTTTGAGAGAGCTTTACGAGAATTTCAAACGAGAAGAAGATGATCTATGCGACAAACGTGGGCTCGAGTCAGAATCCGATTGCCAAACCTTTGAAGTTCTTCTACCCACTAAATTTCGAACACAATATGAAAAGATAACGGACGTTTTAGGAATGAACCAGCAACAAAGACAGATGGGAAGGAATCCCATGCCGCCAATGGGTCGTTCTGGAGCAGGTAAATAAGCTATACCCATCAAGTCATTTCTGAAAAGTTGAATTTTTTCTCAATGCATTAATTCAACGTGCCAGTGCATCAAGCAGTTTTAGACAGTGTTCTCCATTTATGATTTTAGCATCAAATTGCATCAATCGATAGTTTCAATGTTACGATGCTGATAAGAAGCTTAATAAACATAGATAAATTTGTCAAGGCCGTCTTTTCGGTGTTTTCCAAGTGACAAGGTTATATATAGAAAAGTCACTTGGACACAGTGACCAGATTTAAATTGATGATATTTTTCTTGACAAGGTGTACAGCGTTTCGGTTCTGTTCTGTTACCCTAACCTTTGTACCAATTGTCTTTCATTTCATGCAGCTAAGACCGTGGAGCATATCAAATATTAGGAGCTAAAAAGTTTTTGGGGGATCGACATTCGTAGAATTAAGATCAAGATATTTCACTGCATGGTTTCAAGTTTTGAGCCTTATTCTGAAAGGGGTTGAATCATTTCTGCATTGATGAAAGTTTGTTTTACAGGAAGAATTCGGATCTCCTTCACAAAAGGCTAATATCTAACTTACATGATTTGTTTTAATTATCTATGTTTATGTTTTGCTTTAGGAGGCAACGAGCCAAAGCTGTCTGCCACTCTGGAGCGCAGTGTCGTTGCATACAGCACGATGAACAAGTTTTTAACAAGTTTCATTGAGCACTCAACCACAGAGCTTGATTACGTAGTCAAGGATAAACTTATGCTAGAGAAATTATTGGACATGGAGCTGCAAGCGCCGTTGGACAAAGCCTTTTTCTACAAAGACAGCGGAAGATCATTCACCAGCAATTTGTTGTATGGCGTTGAGTGGAGTCTGCTGCTGTTTGACATCCTCTTCTTCGCCCTTATTGATATGGCGGCATCAAACTATATTCTTGCGGCAGTGCTCACCTACTTTGTTGACATTTTGATTGCAACAGCCAGAGACAGTTTTGGCAAAAAGAACCTTGCCAGAAAGACTCTTGTCCATGAAAGGTTCTTGATTTAAAGCTCCGTATCAATGTGTTAGAACTCGATAAAGAACTCAAGCATGATCGAATCAAGGGTTTAGCGGAACGTAAGAGGAACATTCTATCATCCTAACATTTCTGAAAGAAGCCCGGTGCTAAAGCTGCAATGAAGGGGAATTCTTGGGGATTTTTTGAGATATAAGGTCAAAGGGATGAATTGGAATGTCTAGGTCCCTTCCTCTCTTGTCTGTTTCATACGAGAATATACATTTGAATCCGGATTTGTGTCAAAGGCAAATCGAGAGAAGAAGAGCCATTTTGGAAGTGAGGCGTTGAAAATCTGTTTAAGGGGGAGACAAATAAACTGCCTTATCAGTGTGGACGAGAGCAATTTGATAAATACGAAGGGTTTTGAAAATGTACACTTTTAAAACAGTGTTTATGTTTTTTCTTATAAGTAAAGTGTTTATGGGGCCTCTGGTCTTTTCGACCACATACCAACCTGCCAATGAATTCATCAAACTTGTATATTTAAGATACACTCAAAGAATACGACATTCAAAGGAAACTTGGCCTTGTAATCTGTATGTACACGGCGGTTGCATCATATGTTATCTAAATTATTCTTAAAATGCACCATTTAGGTTAGTCGTCTTCTATATTTGGTTAAATTGTTCTACCGGTTACCAGGATCTGCACGAATGCAACAGTTACTTGATACAGAGATGTAATAATGAGAAAGTTTTACAATGCATTTATTTCAAGAATCATGAGCAAGCTTCAGGATTTATATCTATTTTTAAAGAGATAACTTGTAACTGTATGAAATTATATCAAATATTTTAAGGGAATACCACAATGCTGTTATTCCTGATGACTCGAACCTCCCAGAGAACGAGGAAAATTTGTTCAAATTAACGATTGCTCGGTTTATCGAGGACCAGAAAGATTTAGGTTCAAGGGCAATGAAAATCAGTTCGAGTTTCTAGTAATAAAGGGTCTGCGGGCCTTGGGGAAGTTTCAAATGGAGTCTAAGATACGTTATTCGAAATATGGGGGGTTCAATTCACGTTATTGGCGGTTAAGGTTAACAGAATTATCCCAATAATTACACTATGTTCGCCCCTTGTTAAAAATACTGAACTGCGGCTCCGTGAATTCGGACTACAAAGGAGTTTATCGTTATATACGAACTCAAAACTTGGGTCCTGTCCTGAATTCTAATGAATTATATCAGTGTTACGAAAATACAGAGACGTTCTTGCTATGTTTAAGATGGCTTCCTTTGGTAGTGTTTTTAGTTGGCTCGTTATTCTCGTTGTAAATAAGTTATTCTAGTTTGCATCAGCACCTTCTCTATGTGTTTACGTCATGTCAACTTTTTGGTATCTTAATTTTGTTTGCATCGTTCTTTGTTGATTTTGTTTAAACATTATGTTTCTCATACACTTAAAACTTGACAATATCACAAAGTTGCGTTGTTTTAATGTGCAGCATTCTCCTTTGCAGGGTAATTCGGTTACATAATGTGGGCAAAGTCTTTTTTCGAATTAAAGGTTTATCTTTCAAAGAGGAGGTGTAGTTTCAATGGAAATTTTAGGTAACTGCACAATATTATTTTCCTTTCCTACTCTGAGGCAGCCCCACTTCAAAATTCATGGCGTTGTTTTTGGATTACATTGCGATTTCAAAGGATGGTCTTATAAGCATATTTCATTATCAAATGACGGCAATAAAAAAGGCTACTGAAGAGACACCACCTTTTAGTAAAAGTTAAAAAGACGTACTTAACGTTAGGCTGTAATAGTCTGTAAGAGGTTGTGCATGGATGTGTTAGAGTTGCTTCAAAATGTTTTAATCGTTTGAATGTGACTGAATGTAAGGAAATTGAATGTAAGTACTTAATGTAGTAAACAAACCAGGATTGTCGTCATTATCATCATCTTCAGCCATCCAGATCACTGCAGGCCGATGGCCTCCACAGAATCTTCCACTTCTGTCGATCTTGTGCCTCTCTCATCTACGTGACGCCAACGATGCTCTATAGGTCATCACGCCATCTTCGCTTTGGCCTGCCTTTTCTCCTTTTCCTTGTGAGTGGAGTGGTGTCCATTCGGTTACTTTCTTTGCCAATTTTTCCTGGCCACATGTCCGCAGAATTGTCATACTTGTTCGGATTAACCAAAACAGCACTTTTTATTATACAATTATATTTGAACTAAAACAAGCTATACAGCTGTGACAGAAATGACAATAAACACTTTCAAATATGTAATGATAAAATTGTCTACAAAAAATGATCGAAAGCATTAACGGAAGAAATAACAAAATGATGTCGTGTTTTTTACTTTCCAGTCACCCTGTAATTAAACAATTTTTTGGGAAAAATTGTAAGCAATCATTCCAATGAATTTAGAATCGTTTATAGCTACTATATTTAGACTACTGTGATTAGAAAAGTTTTTATGGCTACTGTATTTAGAAAGGCTGCATGGAAATATTGCTTTCATACGTTTTAGAAGATTGCCCATCATCATATGATTTTATCATAGGGCTTTTGTGTACGAAGAATGAGTACGCTATGTTACAAATGTCACAGAAAAGCTGATCATCGGTTTGCATTCAAGAACATCTCGTTTTAAAATTCTGTGCCTTGTGCACCTCAAAATTTGCCCTAGATTTAGCAAATTTTACATAATTGTTTTATAGATATCACAGGCACACAAAAAGATCTAACATCTTATTATCAGTGCCTAAAAAGTCATACTGCTTGCTAGCTCTTATTCGTTAATACCAAATGAGGAATATATAGCTATGGCCTTGGGACTACCGTAATCTGTTTAATCAAACCTTTAGTGCAGGCGGGATTACTTCAAAACGAACAAGGAGGCCTAGCGAAAAAGTTATCAAAAATCAATAGGAATAAGTAGGGCTACTTTTTGGGATTTACAAGGAGGTTGGGCCTACATATCTGCCTTAACGATATTGACAAATGCACTCAGAATTTATTTTTGCATTTTCAGAAATAGCAAAATTTATAGTGTGAGGGCCTATACAAAACATGGTTTGCCCATTATTCCTTGCAATAATTTTACACCGGATATTACCTACAGAAACTAAATGCGCTATACAAGAAAACCTTCAAAGAATGTCCCTTGCCAATGATCTCACTCAAATTATGGTTCATTTTGAAATTGAGAAGCAAGTGACAGATACGTTTACTTTTTCTTGACAACTACAACCAAATTTTAACAGCAAAGGTTTTGCGCCGGCGTCATTCAGTTCCCCTTTTGGCCTTTCAAATAAAACTTTAAAACAAAATAAAACGGGCGAGAGAAATGTCACCGTCACTATGGTTCTTGTGAGGGGCAGTTTGTTTAAGATTAATCAGATATTACAGAAAGATGTCGACTTGAAATAAGTATGATAATGAAGTAAGTGCCGCCTATTCGATATCTCTTCACAATGGCACGTACCGTTGCAAAGTCGTTTAAAATGGTGTCATGGACTCTAGACTGCAAACGTAACCTTAATGAATCTACCACGAAGTTTCCTGAATAAAGATTATCAACCATACCTTTGAAATGATGAATATTATCTTAAGATATCACATCAAATCTCCAAGTTGCAAAATTTGCGAACGGTCTACTTGTTGAATCCACCAACTGGTAAACGGTGTGTTTTGAAATTGGGACTGATCATTAAACAAAGTAAACAATGATTTGCACATGAATAATTATCTTGGGGCATGTATTCATGATTTCACATACTGGCTCTTCGTAAAGCAGGAAACTCCGGTTCAGATGCTCTTTTGGGGTCAAGATAAAACTTTCCAAGCGCTGCAAACGAACCCAATAGATTTTTGATAATTGAAAGAGCTTCGGTGTGCAAAGAGCGCGCGAATTCTTGTTGCTAACGCACAATTTTAAGTAACTTTGTAGCAAAAATTGAAGTATGGATTCAGGTTATTTATGCTTAATAATAGTTGAAGCAATCATTTTCAAGCTTTATTTCAAGAATTGCAGTAAATATCATATAGAAGTGTATTTCAACAATTGATTGTTAATTCACACGAATACGTCGATCACGATCAACATGGTTCTACATATAGGCACTATCAACTTAAGTCACCAAACTAATCGAAAATACAATATAAACCTTAATCATAATCGAGTGACATTAATTTAAAGACAATTACAACATTCAAATCTGGATATTTTAGTCATTAGACAGTACAAGCTAGGCCGGTCAGTACAACAGCTTCCAGTTCGAAATATTCAAAATTTATTGCCGATGCTTATTTGAATACAGCACATACAACAAATTGAGATATTTAGCTTTTGCTGAAAACTGGCCATGATAGAGATAAATGGAAGCAAGCAAATGTGCTTAGCTTGATTATGAATTTCAATATGCCTATTATAGTAGCTTACTTAAATCCTAGATGCCCAGTAAACTTATAGGAATTTAAGCTACTGCAGACGCAAATTTTCAATGAAGCACCACGAAATATATTAAAGGAGAGAGGCTCATCCTGAAAAAGTTTCAAAGAGTTATCGTTACCATACTCCCATATAAATAATAAGCTTTTCGGGAAAAACGAGAAGAAAATCCTTACAACAATATTATGTACACAGCTTTTACTTTGGAGTTATTCTAACTTGACAGGCAGACTCCAAAGTACTGAAAAAAGGATCCAGCACAAAAAGAAAAATCTGGCTTTAAAATAAGGCTAAAAGACAATCGGGTGGAACACTCTGTGAATGCTTAAAAACAAATTGAAACAGGAAAAGAGGCAAAGATAGTAACAAGGTTTTCCATGTAATGCTAAAAATAGAAGACAACTTTAGTTTAGGTTCTCCAAACTCTTAGAATGAGATTTTGACTCAAACCGCCGGAACTAAAATGCAATCTTTTGCATCAGGCAACACATCTTCCTCTGTAGTTTACTGAGGTTGCCTAACTCCATTTTTTGGGTTTCCACTGGCGGGTATTCAATCGATAACTGCTAGCTTGGATTTACCAAATGCAATGAACTCTTAGCTCTAACAAGGTGAACGAATGCACAAAATTTTTCACAGAACAAAAAGCTATCAGACTAGACCGTCTACCACCTAATTTACAACACAATTAATAAAATATGACCAACTAAAAAGCTCTGTTAGGTTCGGTGTACGGTAGGCGAGCTTGCAAGTTGGGACATGTGCAGTCTCGTCTCTTTCCCCAGACCAAAAATATAATACAATAGAAGGAAAATAAAATAGTATACTTTAGTATACAAAAGAGAGTTGATGTGGTAGATTCATAACCGTTTTCAGGTGCAGTATACTTACTATCCTTTATTACGACATGATGTAGCAGAACAGCTTTTAAATTTAGGACAGCTCTCTAAACATCCAATGAATTTAAAAGCTAAACAGCACTTCAACAAACAACAGTTAACATATGCTGCAAAGAATTTACTTAAAGCAGTTTGCCATTCGCCTAATGTACAGTTAGATATAATTTTACTGCATTAAATACAAATTTAGCAAGCTAACCATTGCCGTGCGAGATCCTACTGGTATACAGCGGCTTGAGAATACAATTGCTGTTGCTGCTGTTGCTGATTGTAATCATAAGCAGCAGTTTGCCGCGATTGAGCATAGGAGTCCTGGGTACTAGCCGCCATGTAATATCCTGCGTCTTGATACCCTGTGTTTTGTTGTATGTCTTGGCTATATCCTTGGAACTGTGGCTGTGCACCGATGCTTGGAGGACCTTGACTCGAATAAGCAGCATCCTACAACAAGAGAAGTGACACGTGTATTCACTTTAAACGTGCAAAGAAGGAAACACTTATTGATAGCAAATCTGGTCCACTTCACAAATACGACTAATGCACTAAATATACCATTCTTAAAAATAAATGTGAAAACTTACAACAATATCTGACCACCGTAAGATACGATTAAATAATTTGTTAAATCAAAAAGCAGCTGTTTTAAATTTGAGGAAATGTTGACAAGCTAAAGACCAAGGTTTTTTGTTGTGCCGAGCATTATCCAGTAAACAAAATCGCTTTCAATCTGACAGTATGTGAGGGTATCTAGCATAACTTGAGCCGAGCAATAAATACGTGTCTGTAAACAAACTGGCAACTGCAGATGAATTCCGAGACAAAAACTTACCATCGATACCGGTTGGCCCATTACCATGGAGGAATATTGTAAATTACCCTGCATACTCCCAGGGGGCATCTGAGCCCCACTGTACATCTGTGGCTGGGCTTGCTATAAAAAAAGAAAAACGAAATGATATTAACAGAGATCAAGTGAAATAGAAAAGTAATAGATGGATTAGAAATAATAACAGAAAGTTATAAACAAGAAAATATATCGACAAGATTCAAAAGATTGTAACAAAATTGGATCAATACACATTACGTTGAAAGAAACGTGCATTTTGAACGGAAGGAATCGCTTTGATAACGAAAATGAGTTCACGGTCTAATATTTCAAGTTGCTATAAATATGCTTCGAGATAATGCTTATCTCGACTTTTATTTCGAGTGAGGGTAACGTCTAAAAATATTTGCAAAGGCATCAAGAGGTTTAGTGACATGGAAAGGTAGGACTGAGTCAACGCTCAACGAGGCGACGAGTAAGCTCTGTTGTTATAGGTTACACCGTTTCATTAATAAAAACACCATAATAAAACATCAACAACCATTTAGAGATGCAAATCTCAAGGAGAACAAGATAGACTTACAGCTTGCTGATATGGGGATGAATAGCCGGGCATTCCTTGATACTGCATCTGTGGTGAATTGTAAGCTGGGATGGTGGGAGCGGGCAGTGGTTCTTTCATACTCCTAAAATTAAAGCAAAACATATTTGTTTTACAAACGACTGTGAGAAAAGACCACTATTAGTTGTAAAAGAAAATAAAAACATGGAAAACGATGTTTGAGATTTGTGCTGTAAGGTTGGAATAAAGAAAATATGAACTATAAAGGTAGGAAATACTGTATTTTAATATTCAGGAAGACAATAGGATTGTCAATATGTCAAAATATTAGGCAGGATTTCGAATTAGGTTGCATACTAGACCGCACTAGACAGACACCTTCGAGTAAATTATGATACCATATAGGCATTCATGTATGCGAGGGAGAATAAGGATCAATTCACTATTCACAAAATATTTATAAACATAAGGTGATAAATTTTTAATCTAGTGTAGAGTACCGTAAATTGAAGTGTGCCTAAACTTGAGATTTTAAAGCAAACTATACTCACTGTTGATACATTGTTATAGCTTGGATAAATTTTTGATTTAACTCGTTCAGTTCTAATTGTTTTCTAAAAAGGAAAGCATAATCAATCAATATTTGTCCCTTATTGTGATAATTCAAAAAAGGCAGATTAAGGGTTTGGAGTAATCTTTACCCCAAAATGCAAACGCTTTGTATAGAAATCACAGCTTTTCGTCCTGCAGTTTAAAAACATTGCTTTGGAAAAAAGTCGTGTAATATCTTGGAAGGCTCTTTGGAGAAATATCTCAGATGTACGTTAGAGATCTCAGACGCGGTTTAGGTTGAAGAAGAATGGAAAAGATAAGTTGGATTGAAAGAGGAGGAAAGTATTGCAAAGGATTGGCGAGAAAAGTATTATGATCTCAACCATTTACAATCGACAAAAGAAGGGAATTGGTTTCGTTATAAGACAGTAGGGTCTACTAAGGGATGTCATCGAAGAACTGTTAAAGGACTGTTAAACCAAAAAATGGGGTCAGGAAGGAAGATGAAATTGCTAGATGATTGGCGAAAGAAGAAAGAAAACAGAAGAACAGAAACAAAACAGAAGATCAAGCGAAGGACTGAAGATCAGGATGGATGGCGTGAGTGACGCTGAACATGCCAAACGGCAGACAACCAAGAGAACGGAGGTCATCAAAATCAATTTACAATTACTAAAGTATAAAGACATCATTATATAAATACATCTTCATTATAACAATTCAATAACCATAGATCAAAATAAACTATGATTTACAATAATACAGAATTGAAATTTCATGTCCAGGCTATATCAGTTGAAAAACTAGGTTGGATGTTAAGAGGAAACAAGACGCATTAAAACTTGCAAATAGATAATGGAAGAGCTAAATTGAAAATTCAGTAGCCAAAATATTTTTTTAAAAACTGCTTTTCATTACATTTCAATTGCCGAAGCCACGTATAATTAAATTACCTTTCAGAATTTGTAATTTTCTTTTCTATCAACGGTGCCATTTCCATACAATTTTCTATAAAATGAAACAGGAAAAATTGGTCAACCTGTTATTTAACCTAAATAAATGGTAGACGCTACTCAGGTAAATTGAAAGTGGGATAATTCCTCTTAGAGAAATAATAAAAATTTCTCATTAATCACTGTTGAATTCAAAGAAGGGGTGCAAAGAATCTAATAGAAAAATAGAAGACAGAATCAGCCACGTATATGTAGAGTGTAAGCTGGACAAAGGCAAATATAAGAAAAATACTTAATATTGCAGTGCATTTGGTTTTTTACATCTCATCCTTAAGCTGCAGTCTCTATTTATCGACTGGATAAAACTTCACAAATTGTTGAAAACGTACCTTCATATTCTCTAATTGTTTCCTCCTCATCTTCCTCTTCAGTTGGACTAGCATTCTTTAGCATTGCAAGACAAGACTCTAATTTTTCCTAGGGATCGAAAACACTATGCAATGAAACTACCTTTTGTTAAAGCAGAATTGCAAAAAGGCAGCTCTCCTAGAACTCCAGTACTGGGTAACACTGGAATACTACCAGATGTGCTAGAGAACACTCCCATCCAACTTGATTAAACAGAAACTCATTGGCTATTAATCTATTTCGATAAATTAATGTTCACTTATTATAACGAATTTCTTTTATCGCAAACCCAAAATACATATTTACAACGACAGTATCAACATACCTCGCTAATTACCACTTTTGGTCGTGTAGCTGCAAAGAAATGGAGTAAGTTATAAAAACAAATGAAATACGACAAAATATTTATAAGAGGTTATAAAGTCAGTCCTTTGCAATCTTACAGGATACAGAAGAGGGTGAAGTTGTACGATTGTGCGATTTGTCGAAAAAATGAAATCGTGCGATTTGTTTTTAAATCACACACACCAATGACCAATGACCCTCACCCCCTTTTCGTGATGTCAAGAGTTAGGTTAAATGATCACAGTGTACATTATGATGCACACAGGCTTAACCATTCTCTTAACAACATTGACTTGAGGGGACGGCGGGGGACGAATGATTTTTAGTTGCAATTGTCTCAACATTTTTGCTTCGATTTAAATATTTATAGGGACAATTTAGAATATTTAATGCCAGCCGTGATCACTAGAAAAAATTGCATTGTTCTATATACATAGCATTTCGTATATTCAACATTGATATGAAATACTTTTTTGTGATATGTTCCATTAGGTACACCTCTCACGTACAGCTCAAAAGAAAAGCTTGAAGAAATAAAAGTTACACATTCAATGAATACTGTTTAAATAAATATAGATTCTTGCCTTTGATTCTCTCTTTCTTTTGCTCTGTTTCATCGCTAAATCTAACTTTTTTCTTCTCTTTTTTTGGTTCTTCTAAAAAAGGCAGGATAAGGTTTTCTGTTGATTGCTTAGAAGATATTTCAACAAACAAAAATGAGCCTAACGATTGATTCTAGTAAAACAAAGAATCCAATGTTGCTTAAAAAAGTTTAGGTGTATTGACAAAGCCAACGAGTATGGCACAAAAAACCAACTAGCATTATTTGATGAAACATCGTTGAACATGGCTTGCTTTTTAAAACCATACGGTTCCACACACCAAAGCGTATAAAGCTCTCCCTATATACTATCAAGCACTGTATGACTATATGCATCTAGTTGCTGTTATGGTGATGTTGACTGGTAAACAGTAACTTATACTTTTCTGGACATTTCATGATTGCAGAATGGAAAAAGTTAAAAAGGGGAAGCAATTGAGTAAACTATGGGCGTGGACAAAAATAAACATTGTAGGATATAAAGAGATCTTGATGAAGGATAGACATAGCGACTATTTGACGGAAGCATATGTTCCAAATCTAGCTAAAGCTAGCTGTGAGTCACGTTTGTTGTCAAATTCTTGACCTCTGATTGGTCAATATGGTATGGAGAATTTGAATGTAATCAGAACTCTCAGCCAATCAAAGATTTGGAACCTATGATTTTGACGGATAATAAACGAGATTCATTAGTGAGGTATCAGTAAGCCGATATTAATACCTGGTGGTGGCTGAGTCAAATCTGTCGTGACGAAATTAGCTGGAAACAGGCCTTCCCCGCGAGTTCCTTGACCTTTCCACCAGTTTTGATCACTGAATAAAAATACAACATAGTCAAAATTCATAACAACCTACACAAAAACGACAGTTTTCCTCTAACTGCGTTTTCTCAAACTTTGTCATTATTGAATGCAATGTATTACATACACAGACACAATGTCCGATAAAGCTGAACGGAAATTTAAAACTTCGGATGAAGTCAATACAGTTCATCAGAATTAAGAGCTTGTGATTTAAGATTCCTCTATTAGATTACTAATAAACTGTAATGTGTGCCAGACGCAGGTACCCTGGATTCACGCCTAGTTTAACTGTACAGCATGAATGAAATGGCATTTATCTTAACAAAAACATTCAAGCAAAATAGAGGATAATTCACATAACAGAACAACATAAATCGTGCATGCAATAAATATGCCACATTAAAAAGTGGATCATATCCAGCAAAATATTGGATGACATACATAAAGTACCAATGTCTTTTGGATACTGTTTATAGTATAAAGCTTACATCTCTTTGCACATCTGCAACAACTATTGATTTTCAAACCGACTCGGACAAGAAGCAACTAGCAAAATCAATTGTTCAATAGATTGATAAACAGCTGATCTTAAAGACTCATTACCAGATAATGTTAACTGGTAACTAATACTTATTGGGAATACAAGAACATAAGAATTTTTCTAACATATTTGGCTTACCTGTCATCAGAAACTAGAATAATTTCACCAGATTTGAATGACAGTTCATTATCTTCTGCTGCTTCGAAGTCGTATAAGGCTCTAGCTTTACGGGGTTCTCGCTAAACAAGAAAAAGCAAAAACGTCTCCTGTATAAATAATAAAAATTGGGTAATGAAGGGGTGCTATCAAAAGCAATCTTCAGATAGATTGATTGGGTCTAAATGCTAGAATGGGTCTTAAAGACGCTTGAGTTGCCAAAAACTAGAGTCTAGAAAATTGACATGTTAAAACACCAAACTTAATAAAACAAGACTAGAAATGTGGACAAAAGAAACAATTATAATTAGTACTAATTAGTAAACAACTATAATTAGTGCTTGGCCCACCAGGTAGCCGTGCAAATGTTAATGCAGACATGTTAACTAGGCCAAGCCTATAGCTATATCATTTTCTTTCTATAAGACAACATAATCTTAGTGTCATAATCGAGGCCAAAATTCAATAACATACATGCATTAAATTGCAACTGTTTTTAATCAACGTCGACCGTAAAAAACACTTATGATTCCCAGTCAAAGGAAAAACAAATCATTTTTGCCAAATAAAATGCAATGAAAGCAGAACAAATATTTTATTGTTTCATTACCTCGGGAGCAGATATTGCCGGGCTACTAGCAGGTGGGTTGTAATTTTGTGTAGAACCCTATGAAAGAATGAAATACCTTTTCAAATGATACATCCTCTCTTACGGTTTTTTCTTCTGATAACTGTGATTAATCTATATGACATTTATAGATTTATGACATAACGGCTATAGATAACATTTAATGGCTGACAAAAATGTTCAAAATATTATTCGCAAATCAAATTTCTAAACATTATCACTATCAAATATCTAATAATAGATTGTTCGACTGATACCTACAGCAAGCTATATAAACATAAATACATTTAAAACTTTTTGGATTCAAATATTGATATAGAAATATTAGAGAATCCAAACCTTGCTGACAGGGGCTGAATCGTGCAATGACAATGCTGAAAGAAAGATCATAGCTAGATTTGATTAAATCGAACATTTTTAAAGATAGACCAGGAGTAGAAGTTCCTTTGCAAAGAGCTTCAAACAGTGGCGGACCCTCCCCAATATTTTGGAAGAAAATTGTCATTTGTTCTAAAACAATGTCAAATGCAATGAAACGTCGTCTTTTCAAATAATAGACTTGCCCCCCCCCCAATATTTGAGCAAATGTCCACCACTGCCTGCAAAATGTTAGAAAAGGAGTAAACAACGAACAACGATTCAGGAAATAAACCGGAAATAAACCGGAAATAAACCGGAAAAAACCGGAAAAAACCGGTTGAGCTATATGTTAGAGAGGATGGAATATAAGTGGCCAATCGTTGATGTGCAAATAAACTGGAATAGGATGTGAATTAGTAAGAATATGAGCTGTAGCCTCTTTATTATGCTCGCTTTGCTGTTACCAAAACTAGTTCGACACTGAAGGTATTCCTTCGCACTGCAGGGCCCGCACCACTTATTCTAAACTGGAGGGGCCAGCAAAGTAAAGAAAGTTTGCTCTTGCCCCATGTAGCCCCCTATCATGGCAACAGTTTAATGACGCTGTTTTCTTTGTGTACTTTTGTTCAATTTATTCGTTGCAAGGTTTATCTATAGAATCAGTTTAAGCTGTTTTTATTCTTTTATTTTGTGAAAAACAGGGGAGCCCATGGACCCCCTGTGGTGCAGGCACTGCACTGAGTTGGAAAGAGCTAGTATGAAATTGATATGGAGAATTACCAATAGCTAGATCAATATCCTCCTTGAATTCTAGCTCTTCCTTCTTTGATTTTACTTTGGTATCCTACAAAAAATGTTTACACTCAAGGTCAAGTTGTAAAAGACACATTTCAAATATCTAAAAATCAAAGAACAAATGATAAATGATAATTATAGCGAAAAACTTGGCAGAGCACAGAATGGCTGTTTATATGACAACTTATATAAACAGAAAAATTAAGTTGCCACATCACAACACTCTTTAGACCAAACTGAAAAATCAGGAGTCTTATTACCATAAAAAGTGCAGAAATACAAAGCAGATCATATAAATGTAAGAGCATTCAATGCTGACCATAGCAAAAGGCCAAGAAGAATGGCATTAACTAGAGGAAAAACATTTTCCCGGACAGTGTCAGCTAATTAGATAGAAAACTTTACTGTCAACAACAATTCTAGAGATTGTGGTTGAAACTGAGGGCTGCTGCAAAGGGTGTCTTTACAAATTGATGTGATTGCAGTAGCAGAGCCACTAAGGGATCCGATTATATCCGAGAAACTGTAACTTAATTAAACGAAAGTAGATTTTGTCTGTCATCCCTCCATCCATCTGCTTGCGGAAAAAATGGTTATTAGGGATTTTTAAAACTGATTTTAAAAAAAACCCTTGAAAATAGAAATGCTGCTGTGGAAAATAGAAGACAGTGCTAATAAACGACATAGATAGAAAGCAATTACTGTGAGAGAACGTCTTGCTGTGTTAGAGGTCAAGAGTTCTGTAAACTTATTTAGCTAACTAACTGTAGCATAGGAACAACTGTTTAATGATGCTCAACACAGTAGAAGCTGAACACGCTTGTGTTGAACATCACAGTTCTCTGTTTATTGTTTTGGGTTTAACATTTGATAGGGTAAAGAAGATCTCACCAGGCAACCATATGTTAAGATATATTCAACACCTGCTTCAAAGAATCAAATGAATAAAGTAAATCATCGGTTTGTATCAAGCCTAACGCAATTAACTTACTGGTTCAGACTTTGAAAAACTAATACCCTCTGATTTCAGCTTGCGATAAAACTGAGGAAGTAGACTGAAAAGAAGGGAAAACTAAGTCAATTGTGCTACAATGACTTTACTTCACGAAATTGGTGTTTAGACTAGTTAGCAAAAACATGTAAATCAAAATTGTCACAGATAACGTTATTACAGAACAATGAAGAAGCAAATATTCTATTAGAGAAGAAAGCTAACAGCCCCCCAAAGTAATGTTATAACCAGAAGTGCCATAAGTAAATTTGCTCTAGTGATATATTACAGGAGCTTTGCAAAAAAGATACCATATTTTAATACCTATATAGCACCTCAGAAAGAAATGGGTTTACAAATTATTGATTAAATTGAAACGTTGGCTTGGTGAGAAGGACTTGTCCTTTAACCAAATTCACATAACATGATGATAATCACAAGAAATTTAAACTAGATCATTTTGATTTTTAAACAATCCCTAGGGCTCACTGCAAAAAACAGCAGGTTGTAAAAGCTCACTTCAATTGGGGATCATTCTTGAATTCTTCTGCCCATTGTTCAATAAGTTCTTTAAGCTTCTCACTCACTTTTGGATGGCCCTAAACAAGGATGCATACAATTATTGAACATCAAACAACAAATGAATACAAGCAAGTGAAGGACAAGCCAACAAAGACCATTTCTAATATGCTTTGGATTTTTACAGGTATCCCAGGCTAACTGTATTTCAGGATAATATACACATTAAATCAAAAGATATCACTTCCTTTATCTGATTAGAGTAAATATAATTATGCTAGCTGCAGACTATTAGGATTGATAGCTATTTTGATAGAACCTGACATATAATGGCTTTAGTTTGGTAAGGGGCAGAATGAAATGAAATTCAAGCAATAAGGTGCAGTAGCTAACTACTTAGTTTAAAAATGCAATTTTTACTTCACAAGGGCTATTTCTAGTTGTGTAGAAAAAGAGGTTGGAAATACTTTTACTAACCCACTGTATAAAAATAATACTGAAAATAACAATAATTTAGTTTGTGATTACATGAGGACAACAGCAACTAAATGATGAGTTTTATTTAAAAAAGACAAAACCAATCTGTAATCAACATTTCAATGAAAGCTATGATATGATTGAAGAAGACCCAGTCATGTTTTCACATTAAAAAAATAATCATAAATTTTGACCATGCTGTATCAACTTAAATAGAGATGGTTTAGAGACAAGTTTGTCTCACACTGGATGAAAAACTGTTTCAGCTTCTGATTTATTACCAACATAAGATGATTCAGGAAAAGATGATGCTGGGAGCAACCCTTCCTCCTCCCTGCCCCATCTTAAGATTCTTCTTGATAGAACATGACATTACTAAAACAAATTAGTTTTCATACCCTCTGAATTACAACACGAGCTTCATTTATCCAATTTCTTGAGCAAAGCTCCAGTTGAAAAGGTTTTCCGCAATTATTTACACATGCACTTAGAAGCTACAAAGTAGAAGAGGAACAATTTTTCTGATATAATACATTTGTAACACTTTGTTTATACAGGAATTTTCACTTTGACAAGTTCAAGGTGCAACTTTTTGGTGCCTAAACAATTATAAGGCAACACCCTAATAGATACATTATACATCAAACAAATGCATACATACACAAGGCCTTGCAAGGAGAAAAATGCTGAGAACTGATTGGCTATATTGGCTAGATAGCACTTATTAAAATCACTGTGAAATATTTGAAAAATAAAATGTACAGAAACGATTCAAATCAACCTACAGGACAAGAATAGAAATAATTGTTTCATTTTTGCGAAGCAGCTGTTAAGTTTTCTCAAACTAGATCTTTAGCTAACCAAAATTTTTCATTTTACCTACACATATTGCTTCAATTATACTTTACAAGCAAGAACAAAATGAAATCAATCAAACCAAAAATTGATGCCTCCTAGGGTAACTGATGCCTAGAAAAACCTGGATGCTGAAATACAAAACTCATGCCCTAAGTAACTAAAAAGCAAAATAACTTACAGTCAGTGCCTGCATAGAAACATGAGGTACCACATGAGAGATTCTTTTCATTATAGCTCTCATTCCTTCCTTTGGACTAAAAGTTAAAATAAAAGGATTGCAAACATATTTCTAATTAGGACAAAGTCAAAGATATATAACCATGCCCTTGATCCTATTTATACAATATTTTACACTATCTTAGAAGAAGACTATTTTTACTAGAAATAGGCCTTTGTGTTGTTTTTTCATTATTTTCTGCCACCATAGGCAAGATAATGAAAACATATATGTTGTTGATTGCTAAATCAAAACATAAGGTGAGAAATCTTTACTTCTTAAAAAGTATATTGCATAAATACATAATATTTCAGTTACTAGCTACATAGATATATTTCCTTCAGTTACGACCTAAAATTGAATCTTTTTAATACATAACATAAAAACATAAAACACATCAAAGCGACTAAGACCATAAACTATGAATTAAGTTCATAGTTTCTTAATAACCTCAATTTCTGAGAAAGTCTATTTTGACCACATGAACAAAAACAGAAAAAATGACACAATGTTAGCAAACATTATGGGACACCAACATTAAACTTATAGGTACTATTGGGTTAATCATAGGATAATTTTAAACATTTATAATTTTGAAAACTACTTCTATCATTTTTTGCAGACATCTTCTCTTACTGGCAGACATCTTATCTATTTTACAGCTCTAATGCATTTTTGCCTCAAAGTATTCAGCTGTATTGTTTTTAATTGAAGTGGAAATCTCATCTTGACAAAGACCAAATCCAGCTGATAAATAAATAATAAAAGAAATAGTCTTCATTTCATAAAAGAACTTGCTGTTTTCCTTGCCTAGATTATTTACAATACTTCAGGCCAAAATTTATGATTACCTTCATCTTCAAACCTTGAAATCTGAAAAAATATTATCAGTAGTTCCAAATTATTCATTGCGATCATTTCCACTATTATATTACTATAATGCATTTACATACCCATTTGGCGAAGTCTTCATCTTGTCACAAATGTCCATGATAGCTTGCCAATCTTCAGCTGTATTGCACTCATCAGTCGCTTTTTCTGTTTTTGAAAACAACATATAAGTATTGCACATATTTCTGATAACAAATTATTCTTTAGTAGCAAAGGACTAAAAAAAGTTAACTCATCCTATATATAATATCCTATATATATATTTAACTGATGTCTTATGATTATATATAAACAATCAAAATGGTTCTCACGAAGGCTTGAAGCAGAAACAGCAAAAAAATGCCTTGGCTATCTGGTGAAATCTCTAGTGTTGGTGTAGTACATGGAATTCGCCATTGCCAACCCCTGTTATAAACAATCATGTTGCTAAAATACAACATCTTTTATCCTTTGTAAGGGCTTTCACATTCAAAAATCAACGCGCGCGGTAAAAAACTCGCGTGATCAGAGTGGGGGTGCAAATCAAATTTTTTTATTAACACAGAACAATAAAGGTTTTCTATTGAAACATTAAACGTGACAAAACTTTTGAAATGAACTGAATGCTACACATTGTATAGTTATGTTCGTGTTTCCCTCAGGAGTTAGCCTGAACGGTACTCTGCGATATAGAGAGGTTTCAGTGACTTAAGACACATGACGAAGTTTAAATTCTGTTCAGCAAAGTTAAAGAAAAAAACAGACAAAAATAGCTTTTAGCAAATAAAACAAAAAGAGGGCCCTGTTTGACCAACGTCCGTTGGAAATCAGGCCCTGTTCCTATTGCTCCGCTTTTATAGGAAAACGGAGCTGAATGAATTGTTTTTTATTTTGGTTCCCATTAATATGCTCAAAAACGGAGACATTTATAATGATGTTCCAAGTTATCAACCAAAAACGTTTGAAAACGAATCATTTTAATGGACACAGCGAAAAAGAAGTCATTGGAGAACAGAGTCATTTAGAAACGAATTGTTTTAATGAGAAAATCGAAAATGGAGTCAATTAAAAAAGAATTCGCTCATTTTCAGTTTCAAGATGAGCTTAAACAAAGGATACCAAAACGGACAAAACAGAGTAATGGGAAAACCTTCGTTTTCGTTTTGGCCTAAAGGCTACATATGGGGTAAATATTACCCTTTAATAACCAAGGGTTGCATTGGCTTCAAAAATTATTCCCTGATTTCACTAACTCCTTTGGCTCTTTGGAATGAGCCTTGGTTTTTGAAGCAGCAAACTGGAGTTTGATTCCTTGTGGAAAAAATATTCCTCCTGTCAGCCTTTGCCTTATGATAATTAAGCATTATAATGTATAGCGTTAGCTTAAGCTTGCCTCCATGCCTCCATGCTTCTGTTGCAACCTGAGACAATCTGTGAAATGCTTAATCCTAACCTGACTAATTTTGTGATTAATTTGTGTCTTTCAAATCCCCTGAATGAAATTTCTAACACATAAGCAAAGCTTGTTTATACCACCTATTGCCTGATATAGAAATCTTCTTTCAACAAACATTTGTTTTATTTGTATAAGAACACAATTACATCAAAAAGTTTTGTTGTTATTCCTTGCTTTACAGCATTTTTATGGCATTAAACATCTATCAAATTCCTTCTGTTACCTTATTTAGCATTTTGTAATATCCTCAATTACACATTTATGTGTTATCTTAAAAAACCTTCCTTCATTAGCTGACAGTTTAATTAGTTGAATCAAACAGTTCTTGAAACAGTAAATATGAATAAATTCAATGTCAGATCTTAAAAACAGTTAACATTAAAGACAATTTAAAAACAGAATTTTAGAATATAAGAACAAGTTTGGCACCTAAAGCCAAGGCTTCTTCAAAACATGTCTCAAGAATGTTCTGAAAATTATTTTTCGGAAATTGTTAATAGTTTTATGCCCACCAAGGCTTTTTTGGCATTTTCACAATAGCTCATAACACTTTTCTCAAGGGAACTGATCTAGCTTTAACTTTAATTGGGTATTTTGCTGTGGTGCCAAAAACCCCAATTATTTTTTTATTTGCCAAAGTGCATGACCAACTATCCAGAGCTGGCTTCACCATTGAATTCAGGAATGGAAAAACCAAAGAATTTAAGTGGTTAAACATTTAAATTAAAACAGCATATTTTAAAATCTAACTGGTAATAAATCTAGGACTATAATATGCAATAACAACAGAGCCTGATGATGAAGAGTTACGAAAATGCTAGTACTAGTGTGGAATACTTCCTCTTCTATTATCTAATTCCTGTCAGAAGTCTGCTGATAAAGCTCAATCAAATGTTCACTCTTTTTATTTAGGATCTACTTAGCATTATATATCAGCTAAAGGCCTAGATAAGTCTGAGGCCCATTAGTTTTTAATGATAAAATTATTCTATGCTAAACACTGCTGGCCTAACAATGGCTTCCTGCGGCTAAAATACTCACCCACTTCAGGGTCAAACATCGAAGAGGAACCAAAGAGCGGCATTTTGGGAAATTATTAGACGCGAAAAAATATCTTCACTGTATTTTCTTCTCAATATCTATGTCAAAATATCCTTGATTTGTCTTCGTTTCGGCTGACCACCGCAAACTCACTCTGCCATCTTTTTGTTTCTGCGCGTCTCCTCCGGTTCAGTCAGCTATTCCGCAGGAAAACAGCTGTAATTACGTCATCATACGACAGAGTTAATCGGCATATGCGGTGGAGCATATTTTCGGGAGAGCCCGCGGTTGGGGATATTGAAATTTGGGGGCAAGGAACAGTAATCAGACATCGCAAAGGAGACTGGGGGCTATAGCTCCCACCTATTACGAAAAATTACCAATGAATCACCAGTCAAACCAATTTTTACTCACCCTTAATGTTTTAGCCCCCCTGTTAGACCCCCATTTTTCTCAAAGCTAAGCAGTGCCTTATAATCCAGAAATTTGGGGCAGCATAAACCTTTGTCAATACTTTACCATTATCTTCATAACATAGGTCAGAATTTTCTTTATTAAAGCAGAGTAAGTAAAAAGTCAGCACCAGAACAACAACTGTGACGTGAAAGGACAGATACCGAGTTTCAGTTTCAGTTGTTGAAAAAATAGGCTCCAGCTCTCTTGGATTCTCTTTCTTTCTATATAAAGAAATGATGCCAGATCATATAACTAGAATAAGATTCCAGGATTTATTTATATAAGATTTCAAGCCAAATGTTAATATATGAATAATAAGTAAACTTCTATATGTTTCAGACAGTAACGTGGCGAGAGGGAGCAATTGGGGGCGGCCGCCTCCTTCAATGCGCAGAGAGTTGGTGTCAGAGAAAATATTGAATCTGCAATTAAAATAAGTACTTCAGGGTGGGGTGTGGGGGGTATTTCAGACAAAATTAAAACGTTAGCAAACGACTGCGAGCAAACCACTGTGAGAAATTTCTGAAATGCATTTTAAGCTGATATAAAGAGCGTGATTGCAAAAATTTTCTGCTCGCTTTGCTCACAGGGAGCCCTCTTCTGTGCCACTACGGAATTTTCCCTCGTTTAGAATTGATATAGAAAAGTCCTTCACGTTCTTTAGACATTTCCGATAAATAGAAACAAAATGCTAAAATGCTTAAAAAATTGGATTCTGAAATGCTTATCGGCGAATTTGCAGATTTTGCTCAGGACTTGATTTGAATCTTTTGAATACTGTTTATTATCTTTAGATATCTGCTTACAACTTTGGAAAGTCAGTTTTTACACGTAGAGCTTCCTTGCCTTACACAATTCGAAATATAACCGTTAGAGGAATTGTTAAGGAAATAGACACATGTAAAATGGGGTCAGTAACAAAAAGCTACAGATGACGGTAAATGTGTTTGATTAGCCAACCATCATCAACCATCGTAAAAAAGCCATAGCTTTTCCAAATGCATTTAAAAAATGAGGCGTTTTCCCAAATTCTTGAGGGTGTGGTCAGCAAAAAATTTCCCTTGTCCCGGACCCCCTGTTGTCGGACACCTCTTTGCCTCCTAATCTTTCAACCCTGGCTAGGCCACTGGATACAAATGTATGCTTATTATTGCTTACAACTTTTCCAATAAGGCAGTGCTGTAACTACAATCCTTGCCAAAAATAACTTGAACCCCTTCCCATTGCAGCATGCAAGTAAACAAAGTCTAAAACTACCTTACCAAAATATCACTGCCGCTTCAACAATTTCGACCTCTCCCCCCGTACAATGTTGATTCATTTTCTCAATACTTTAATACAGCTTTCATTGAAGAGAGTTTTACCTTCAGGATGGAAACAGCCCAATTGAACAACATTGTAATGGGGGGTAGGGGGGGATTTTTCAAAAAAAGCTTCAGCTATGCGCAAGTGTTCCAACAATTTTGGCAAGGATTGTAGGTGTTAGATAACGGAGCATTGCTTGATGTGGTGGACCAACTGGCCTACCAACTAACATTTATACCAAGATTTTGCAGTTTTTAGATTTGTCATCAAACATGAGTACCTCTTTGGTGGAAGTTCAAAGTTTTATACTTCATGTTGTGAAATAAATGCATGTGTTTTGTCTTTGTTTTATTTTTTCTTTTCTTTACCAACAGGAATCACCCACATGTAAGTTTAGAAATCAAAGAAGCAAAGCCAAAATATCACACCTAACCAAGCAGTTTCTCATTATATTTAGACCAAATACAAGGATGTGCTCTACTTGGGTATGGCTCACCAAGTTTGTAAAACGGATAGTGTTTATCTAAAAAAGTTCTAAAAATAAGTTCTAAACAAGTTCAAAAAGTCTGTTCTTCACCTTTTTTTCTCCTAACAAATAGAAAGAGAGAAGGATTTGGAAAAGGGGAAGAAAAGATCAAGCTTGTTGTTTCTCGTTTTGAATAAAGACTGGATATAAGAGTCTGTGAAGCAGAGGAAGAGGGCCAGGGGCGGATCAAGAGCAAATTTGAAGGAGGGGCAGTTGGTAGTGGGGGCGCTGAAAAGTTTTCAAAAATTGGTTACGAGAGTACGCTGTATACAACAATTTCAGATACCTTTTCAGAATAAACAACATAACTTTGAGGTAACCCTTGAAGCAAATTAACCTATCGGTCCAAGAACCTTTTTCATATGAGCCTCATTCTTCAAAAGTAGCGGAAAATTTCCAAAAAAGGGGCGCCAGACTTGCTTCAACTCGTTGAGGGAGGGGCAACCGCCCAGTTGCCCCCTTAAATCCGCCACTGAAGAGGGCAGATAGTTCTAAAGTTTACAAGATCTGGGACCGAAGGATGAGTTGTAGGCAGGGACGTCCGGAAGCCTTTGATGTTGGGGGAGGTATGGTTGGTTGCACCTACCTGATTTTTAAAAACCCTTTTTTTACCTGGAAGATATCATGTCGAATCTAAAAGTTTACAAAAAGAGATTGAATGGTTATGGTTTTCTATTCTATTGATTTTCTTTGTTTCTTCACCAACGACCACAATTTTCTCAAGCTTAAACTTGTTAATTATATCTCCCTATGCAGCATGAAGCACCAGGTCGTTCAACTTTTCTCCGCCTGTCTTGTTTGCGGCGTAGCTTTCTACTCTTTTCATAAGGCTGAACCAACGTTAATTTGTAGTAGCAAATAGAGTTGCAGTGATAAAAAGCCGGTAGAGTTTTGTTGGCAGCTTGAATATGCCGTACTTTTGCTAGGTGTGTAAAGCAATCTTGGCAAATGCTGTGCAACTCATCTGTGGAACTTCTCTTCTTCATCGCCTCCTCTCCGCATCGAGACTAGCTGTGTAGAGCACAGTTCTTACGTTCTAATTAGAAAGATGTATTGCGATGCGAATAAACTTTCTGTACACAGAAAATGTAACATTAAAGGCATTTGACATGCATAAGTACAGCGAATCCAAAAACAACTTTTATCAAGTTGATCAGAGCACGCGCACACGAAAGGAATTGGAAACTGCTCACGTGTAAACTCTGCGCGATGCTCTAGGATTTCAACGATTTGCAGTAAAGCGGAAACTGTTCACGTGTTTTTCTTTGTGCGCAATTTGATTAGTCAACCGCTCGTGGACGAGTGACTCTAAGACCCCGTTTACACTGTCCCGTGCAAGTTTGGAACCGTGACAAAACTGTCGCGGTTCGCCCTTGCGTTTACACTAGCACTGTGGAACCGTGACGATTTTGCTCTGCTATCCGGAACAGTTTTGACCCTGCTTTGAAAGCGAACGAATTTTGTACCGTCACGGTTCCGTTTTTGAACGGGACAGTGTAAACACCTATCCGAGACGATTTTGTCACGGATTCACAAAGAGGTCTTTTGTATGGCTGTTTCAGTTAATCGAGGCTTTGATTGTGGCGTAACTACGTTCTCAAATTCTGAAGAAAAGGAAATTCTGAAGAAAAGACGACCACAGAAAAGGCTTGTAGTGTTTCCCAGTCCAAGCCTTGATTAGACTTGGCAGTTTTGTAGTCTAAAATAACACTGAAAATTAAAGCCACCTTGTCTTTCGTCCAAGTAAAGTTTTAATCGGCCTTCCGCTCCAGTTTAACTCACAATAAAAATTCGATTGTTGACTTCAGCGGCAAAATAAAAGCCTTGGTTGACTAAATACAGCTTCTTCTAAACAATGTTCTACCATTAAATTAAGGTCGTACCGGTACAGTGTAAACGGAACGGCTAAACGGAACAATTTGGAACCGCGACAGTGTAAACACTTGCGAACCGTAACGGTACAAAATTGTCCCGGGACAGTGTAAACGGGGTCTAAGCCACTTTTACCTTTGTCGAATGCTTGTAAGCATTGATAACTGTTTATGTAACTTCTTAAATAATTTTTCATGTACTCCATTCACTGTTCACTACTAAGACCGCGTAGCGGGCTTCGTAGGGGAGCCAGTTCACTACTAATTTGCCAATATATTACGTCATTATCCATCTGGACCGCCTGTGACATAGTGTTTCGCCTGTTGCCCAACCAAACAAATTTAGTTGGTCGTCCCTTTTCTTATCGCATTCTTCTCAGGCAGTCTTGAGTTGATTTCATCGCAACCAAGGTAACGGAAACATAAATTCAATTTCTTTGCGATTTGTCACTTTGTTCGTGGCATTATGTTCTTGAGAAACATCAAACCACAGACAAATTTAATGTTTATGATAAAAGTGTTTATTGTTTCACTTTCGCCTCTTTGTCATCTGACTGCTTTACGTCGTCCAGAGCACAGGCTCTATCTCATTGCTTTAATGATTTTACCATGTTTTCAACTGCAGTTGTCCACTTCTTTTTTAAGTTCTCTTAAGAACGCGTTTCTTTTAGTGCTCCAAACAAGCCTTACAACCATGCCCTACTACAAGATTAACGCCTCGCGAGGCTCTTTTGCTCCTTTGTCTTCCTGATTTGAATTTTACCTGGCGAAGCATTAGTTTCTACTTGAAAATTTGTTGAACGACTTGGAAAAGGAAGAGTATTTCGTATATCATACTCAAGGGTCCTGGGATGATCTCCTGAGAGCAATGTCACTTGTTAAATCTATAAGAAATTGAGAGATGCCATCGGTGACACAGTACCGATAAGAAAGAAGTTGCAGCGATATTGTCTGTAAGATTGCAGTTGTTGATTAGGCAAATGACTTTGGATTGGATTTTGTCAAGTGGCACAGGGAATATTTAGGAGCATCACCCCAAAA